ACATTCCCCCAACCCCCACCCCCCTTCTGTATGCCACAACGAAGATCAACGTAACAACATCTTCTGGTGACGCAATGCAATGAACGTTAACATCCCCCCCACCCCCCTCTGTATGCCACAACGAAGATCAACGTAACAACATCTTTTGGTGACACAATGCCATGAACGTTAACATCCCCCCCCACCCCCCCTCTGCATGCCACAACGAAGATCAACGTAACAACATCTTCTGTTGACGCAATATTCAAGGAACGTTAACATCCCCCCCACCCCACCCCTTCCGTATGCTTATGTCTATCAGAGAGAGAGACTTAAGGTTCCTCTTTGCTCTGGGGAACCTCAAGCCTCTCCCTATATATATATACATACATAAATACATACATACATACATACATACATACATACATACATACATATATATACACAGTAAATATATATATATATATACAGTAAATATATATATATATATGCATGCTGTGTGTATGTATACACATATATACATATATACAGTGTATATATATACTGTGTATATAACATGTCTATGCCAATCAACGGTCTATGGGGATAAGGCAAACTCAACAAAGGCATGGCCAGAGTTCTTGCGCATTCCACGCTGGAGAGCAAACTTTGTAAACAATGTTTCCCCAATTAATTCGTGTTTTAGTTCTTTGCCAAATAATCCCCCTCACACACACGTACACATACATATTTCAATGATTTTCCCCATTCAAGATATTCAAGACAGAGATTTCCGCCAGGAACTTGTTTGGGACACGAAGCTGCGGTCCATGCGGTGGCCTTTTGCCACAACGGAACGCTGTTGGTCAGTGCCTCGTCAGATCAAACGGCCCGCATCTGGGCGTTGGACCGACGCTGCCTGGCCATTCTGCGACATCGAGACGAGGTACGTGCGGCGTGCTTTGGAACCAGGCGGACAGTGCCTGAGCGAATTTGGTAGTTTTGGCATATTTTCTGTTGATAAAACTTCCATGGAAGTTTTTGTTGTAACGGTGTTTTCAAGTCTTTTTTCGGGTTCCATGTTGCATCCCATAGATGTGCACTATTGATAAGCCGATCTGCTTCTTCCTTGGATGCTCTACCCATTGGTCATAAAAATGGTACTCAATATTTATACATGGGATACCCTCTGGTAATTTCACATAGCTATTGAAAATGGCCATAGAAATAGTGAGTTTTCCCATTAAACATGGTGATTTTCCATAGTTATGTTAAATTACCAGAGGGTACTCCTCAAATATAATTAAGGTGTGCCTAAGCATGGCCACTTCGGTCAGAGGCATCTCTAGTGGTCACTGGATCCATGGATGGCACAGCGATGATCTGGCAGCTGGATGGTGCTGGCGATGCGACGGAATTGGCTCCAATCCATGTCACTTGGAAGTTGGTGAGTCAGGGTTTCGCCTTACATTTTTTTTGGTTTAATTCAAACAAATGAAGTAATTTATATAGAGTAGCTTGTCAAGAGTAGTTTATTACTTTTTTACAATTGAAGTCTTATTTGGGAGAGTCTGGATGTCCCGTTCTTGGAGATTTTGGAATACAAAAGGGTACATCTTTGCTGATTCCCACGGGTTCGAACATTTCCATCCTTGGGTGGTGTGAATTCACCCCATCAGGTCTATCCTCAAATGATATGGCTGGCGATATCTTTCGCTTTTAAATTGTACACAATTTGAGATGAGACATACTTAGATACTTAGCCACGTTTGTAGGATTTGACCTATATGCATATATGCATATATATATAATTATATAGATATGTATACAGTAAGAAAATGTAAGGCTAACCCCTATTCTTCCCCTTTTTCTCCGGTCTCTTCGAAGAAAGGTCTGTCGCTCGCACCACGGGGGGATCACGGACCTGGCCATCGGAGAGAACGGTCAGACGCTGTGCACCGCGTCTGTGGACAAGTCCCTGCGGTGGCTGGGCGGATGCGTCCAAAAAGGGGTGGATTTACCAGGGATTTACCATGAAAAGATGTTGGATTGCCCGGAGTTGGAGGATGAAGCGCAAAGAAACTGGGGAAGCGCATGGAAAAAGATGAGGCTTTAAGCAGAAAAATAAAAAGTGGATGAACCTTCAAAAATGGAGCATGAACCATGAGAAATGGGACTTTAACCAATGAATACTGGCTGGAACACCTAGGAAAACATTTTTCTGTGTGGGATTTCAGCAGAAGAGATGAACGCCAGCAAACATAAATTTATTTTCATCAGTGATGTTGACTTCAATCATCCCAAAATCATCTCGGTTCACAAAAAAAACACAGAATGTTTCGGGACGCGTAGTTCTATGGATCCAGTTTTTGGAGCTGACTTTCGGGGAGCCCGTTTTGGAAGTGGGTGTAGAATCCCATCCTTTTTTTCCATCTCTGGAGATGGACATAGCTCAGCTACTTTTATAAGCCAACTTGGCCATTTATAAATTCACTTGCGGGTAAATTCCCGATTTTTTCAAGTATATCAACCATGAATCACATTTGCAATGGCTGAAATGAGAACTATAGTTTCAACTTCTTTCAACCATATATCAAACTATTCTTACACCTACAGGATGGTGCCCCTCAATTAGAAGTTGGTTTATAACCCCCATTAACTATAGATATATCACCTATAAACCATAGTTATTGGAGTTATGTTCACCAACTTAGCTATAAACCATAGATATAAACTAAACGACCCAGGTTGTGGACCCTCCACGATGGTCGTTTCGCCCGTTCCCTGCCGGGGGGTGGCGCCCTGGCGGCGGTGGCCATCTCAAGCGCCGGGGCGGCGAAGATGGCCACGGCCACACGGAAGGGGTTGGTGAAGATCTTCGGAATCGTTCCCAGAGGCCACCAGGGTTGGGGTGCTGGCACGAAATTTTTGAAGTGCTGATTGGCTGGTGGTGACTAATGGTTGTTGCATGGTTGGCGTTTTAGTGTTTTGGTGAAGAAATAGATAGAAATAGATAGAAATAGATAGTTGAGTGGCGGGCGATGAACTAGTGGTGATTGATTCAATGGCTAATAAGCCAACAAGATTTGGATTTCAAGCAGCAAATGAAGGGCACTAGCCAACCTGAACCGAGGTTTGACAAAGAAACAACAGGAATTGAACTAACATGGGAGGAAAATATCATTGTTTACCAGAGGCGTGGTTGGGTGGAACTATCATACATACATAAATAAATAAACATATATACATACATAATATACATGCATATATATATACATACACATGCACATACACATGTATTCTAAGACGTCAGGTGATTCAAACATCAACCAAAACAGGGGATGTTGTCAAAACGAAGATGGTTTAAGCTGGATTGGCAATTTTTCAGCACCGTGTTTCAAGCAACACCTGCGTTGGGTTTTTTCATGGACAAACGCAGGGGAATTCAGCCATCATTCGTTCCCAGAGGTTTGATGGAAGTGCTGGAAGTGCTGGGAATGGGGGTTTAGGAATGGGGGTGGTACAATCCCAACATGGGGTTGTTTTCGGTTGTTTTCCTGAACGAAAACCCAATAGATTCAATAGCCAGAAGCATGGTGAACCCCTTGGAGACTCTGCAGTTGGTTGGGGAAACCCCACACAGCCAGGTCGCGAAGCCGGCATGTTCGCCTGACGTTCGGTTGCCCAAACCGAGGATTTTTTCACGAGATTTTTTCTGACCAACTGAGGGGATGACATTTTGAAGTCACAGCCACCAGCCAGATGCCATGAATGGCAGTGGTTAACTCCCGAGAAGGGGTTGTAACACCTTTTTCGCAAAAACGAGTGCTCCAACTACGATAGCGAGTTGCAAACCAACTTTTGAGGCTGGGGATTTGCTCCAAAATGCCGTTGGAGATGCAAAGGTGCGCCGGATTCTGCTCCTTTGCACTCATGGAATTCCAAATTGTTCATGCAAATCCGTAGGGCTTGAGAAGTTCAGAACATTCACAGAATTCTTGTGTAAAATTTTGCGACTTCAATATTTCTTCTCTACCAGCGAATTCCCCCAGGGCCAGCCTGTCCTCGACAAGCCGAGCCGCTTTGAACCCATGGAGCATGAATCTGATTGCGGGCTGCATCCACTGGATCGATGAGAAGAAGGATGCTGGTCGTGTAAAGGAAGCCGTTGCAGGCATGAAAGGTGACCCAGGCACTGCCTTTGGAAAAGAACGCTTTGTGGTTCCGGATAGGACAGAATCAGTTCAATATCCTCCAGCTGCGCCTTTCCCTTGTGGCGAGACTCTTCTACACTGGCATGGAGGCGCCATGGCATGGCAGAGGTAACCCATGGTAACCCCAGGTGTTATTCCTCACATTCCCCATGAATGGCCATCAAACAGGAGCAGCCCCCGTTGACAAATCCACCTGTTATGAGGTGCAGTTTCTTCAGAGCTGCGTGGCGAGGTTCATCTGCTGTGTTGAGGGTGAGACCACAGCACTGATAACTTGACACCAATCAAGAACCCTACTTTAGTTGTAATGATCAAGAACCCCTGGGTCTTTCTTCTTTTTCTTCTCCGTCTTTTTGTTGTTGACCTTTTCGCCAGATTCACCAGATTCACCAGCATGGGAAAAGTGCAGTGATAGCTCAGTATCACTGGCAAAAAAGCTTGTGGCTCAAGGAGGTGAACATGAATGCAGAAGTCCTGATTGGCTAAAAGTAACAGCTCATTCATTGTACATGAGTGATCATGAACGATACATGGATCTTGAGATGATGCTTTAGATCTTTGTCTTAGGGTGTCTTCAGATTCATGACTCGTGATTGAAACCTACACATCCTTCTAGTACGATCACTGCCTCTGAGGTCTTCAAAGCTTCACGAGTCTAGTTTAGGAAGCGTTGCACGGTAAACTCGTCCGGCTCAGACAGGACTTTTGAGTTGCCGTCCCATATGAAAGGTGACAAAGGTCATGGCAAAGGCTGGTCGGGTTGGAAAGGCTCCCAGGGCGGCAGCAAAGGTGGCAAAGGTAAGGGCCGAGTTCATCGCTTGAACCTTCCAACGGCGAACGCCCCTGAGATCGTGGCGGGCACCTCGTATTGCTATGCAGCCAAGCATTCGTACATTGACGTCCTGACGCCTGCATGGCATTGCCGTCCCCTGGTGCCGCACTTGCCAAAGGTGGATCTGCGTTTTGAAGCTCTGCGAGAGCTGCAGACCTCCTCGGGAGGTTTCGAAGTGTCTCCCCTGTTGCTGGGCCGCCTGGGCGCGACCGAACAGGAGCCGGTGCTGAACTTGGCCAAGGACCTCAAGGGCCGAGACCTTGAAGTGCTCGGCGCTCGGCTGGTGCTGAAGGCGGCGGAGTTTTACAACGTACCAGACACGCCTCAGACCGAGGCAATGTGTTTGCGTTGTAAAAAGTTGATAGAAGTTGCATCCAAAGACACAGATGGATTGGATGCAAGCAGGAAGGACAATAAAGCCTTGAAGAGAGAAACCTGGATTTGCTGACGATTATTATATCATATTTTCCGGGTGGTTAATCCACCATTTGGATTCATTTAGGGAATCCCACCTTTTTTTTTTGGAAGTTTGTTGCTTCATCACAAGGAAAGGCCGAACGATGACATTGAGAAGCTTCTGGATATCACCTTTGGCATCGTTCGAGGCTTGTGGTCTTTTTTTGAGTTATGGGAGCGGCTGTTGCCATCCAAGATCCTCCAGCCTTTCAAGGACCAAAATGGACGGACGGTGATGAATCAGTTGTGGCCAAACGTTTGGTCCCGGAAATAGCAGAAAAAACATCATATAACAACCATAAAGTCTGGTAAAATGGCATTCATCCCAATTTTTCTTTGTTTATATCACTCTTCCATCCACATGATCTCCCTTGTTTTGGGCCATTTTTTTGGGGGGCCAGGGATCCCAGTGAAACAGGATGTTGGTGGCATCCTGTGCACTCGGTTCTTCTTGGTGGACCTGGCGGCCGCACCTTGGTCACCCTATGAGATCGACAAGAGCTATCCCCTCTTTCGGTGGGGCAACCAAGGAATCGGACCTGGGACCTGGGACCCTTGGGAGTCGCCGACCTTTCTCGCTTTGTGGATCTGGAAAGTCACCATGGCGAAATGAGGGTTGAAGCAGCAACACTAGGAATATCATGATTATCCTCTGGTGAACTAACATAGCAATTGAAAATGGCCATAGAAATAGTGGATTTTCCCATTAAAAATGGTGATTTTCCATTGCTATGTTAGTTCACCAGAGGGTAATATCTGCTAAATATGATTGGGGACGGTCGATGTTCTCAGCATTGCTGACGGTCAGTGTTTTTTTTTTTATGGACCAGCATTTTGGTGGGGATATAACTGATATAACTTGACGTGTAGCGGATAAATTGATGTTTGGTTGATGAGTGATTGGTTTTGTTAGGGAGTTATACTGTACCATGTTATACCTTTCTGGTCTAAGGGAGATTAAAATTCACTAACCCAGTCATACGAAGCCCGTTACCACTGCTCACATGGGCATGGCTCAAAATTGGATGAGCATGGCGGTGGTTAACCATTGATGCGAACTGGGTCAACAAAAATCCCATTTGTCGTATTTATTCTGTTTATCCATATTTGTCCGATTTATCCTATTAAAGATATTTAAGTGGCTTGTCCCAGGCTACCAACAGGGAAAGCCGCGAGACCTTCACCCGAAGTTGGAGGGTTTCAGGGTTTCAGATCCAAAAAATGACACTTAGACAGACTTTGGGGGTCCAAAGCTCCTCAAGTTGGTTGAGGGGGAGAATTTACAGGAAACCCCTGTACTTGGGGGGTTCAAATCATGGTTTCCCCACGCTAGATGTTCCCCAACATCAAGCCATTGAAAGACGCTTCCCAAGTGAGCCAGGTCCGGCAAACATATCTACATGGGACAGGTACCTCGATCAGGAGTTGAAGATCGGATGCGCCAAGGGCATGAATTGGTGACCAGGCTTTGCTGGATTACAGGAAGGGGTCCCCAAAGGATAGTTAAGTTGATGGGTCTATAGCTAGGCGAATGTTAGTAAAGCAATATTAAACCATCCCCAAATTCTCCATTTTTATGGGTGGTATAAACCAGCAACTCCTGGGGTTCCTGAGCAAATCTCAGGAAGCTGCTTGGGTCAAGAACTCCGAAGTGGAAGAGGAGGGCTTGCCCAAAAAATTATTGGATTCAACACATGTTCAGCACGTATTTTTTCTGGATTTCTGGTTGGTTTTCCAACATTTTCAGGGATATAAATATGTACTGGGTATGTGGGTTTATCCACAAATGGTCGCTATCTCATCTCAAATGGGGATTCAACCTGCCAAAATAGGGACCGAAAATATGTCAAACATGGGAATTTAACCCATGAATTAAAGTGGTGAGTAGCCTCCCGTAATTAAACATGACAATGGAACATCATCTATTTGGTTCAATGATTTTCCCAACACTCTAACCTCCATTTCGAGAGGATTTCCCAGCTATATTCACCATCATTAACCATCATTAACCATCTAGCGCTTTTCGCCAGGAGAAGCTCCTCATGGCGTTGCAGCTACCCAAGGGTCGTCAGGTTCTCTTTGCCGCTGCGCCGGATGCCTTGGATCCGGCGATGGCGGAATGTTTGGCACCGCTGGAGACGGAAGCGAACTTTGTGGGGGCCGGATATGAGGAGGGGATGGATTTTTGTTGAGATGTGCCATGGAGAAAAAAATATATGGAGGATGGTCATCAATCAAGATGGATTTTTGGCGACATTGGAGGATGGTCATGAATCAATCCATCAATTGGACGAATGGATGGAAGTAGATATGGGGATGAAAACAAAGGATTCCAGATATTTTCGGGGGTTGAACAGAAAATTAAACTGCCTATTTTGATGTTCACTAAGGAGATGAACGTTTTGACCCATAGTCATCAATTTTCGGGGTTTTTGAAAATTGGGGATCCAAAATTGGATCATTTCCATCATTTTCATTCATCATTTGATGAAGAAATCAGGGAACCCAACGGACCCTCCAAATCAGGTTCGCCCGAGCCAGGAAGCAGAGGCTTTTCCGCATCCCACGGAGCCCACGACATGTCGCATTTGGAGGAGCCAGAACATCGGCCTTGACGCACCGTTATCGGCATACATTGAAATCAAAAAGACCACGCATCTGAATGGATTGAATGGTGCCAACAAGCTCCTGAATTACTGGCTTCAGGCAGCTCTAATGAAAGCTGGGGCTGTTTGCGTGGCCTTTGCCGACGATGCAACAGGAGTGGTCTCTCATGGGCAGAAATTTTCACTTCGACAGTTGGAGGTAGAGATTCAGGAGCGGTTTCAAGACCCAGACATCCTTTCCAAGGTTTCTTAAATTGGCTGAAGATACTTTTCAATTTTCCCATTGTTTCATCCACCATTTTGTGGAATCTGGGTCTATTTTCCCGCATTTCTCCAAGGTTTGGGCATCCTTATTACATTCCTTGGACCTTATCAGTGGCACCATGCAGGGAAGATCCCAGCTGCAGCTGCAGAAGCATCGCGGCTTTGGAGAACGGCTGCGCGAGGAACTCACGGAGGGATGGGGTGAGATGACGGAGACCATGGAGGCACATCCCTTTGAGCCGCGCGCACGGCAGCTCTTCGCCTCGTGACGAAAATGGGGCGAGGATGGTGTGCTTGGGCAGATGCCATTTTTTTTGGGGGGTACCTGGGGGGGTACCTGATTGTGCCACATGGTTGACCGCAGTTCACAAATCTTCAGGAGCTTCCTGTTCCAACTGCTCCAAGTATTCTCCTTGGGTGCTGCGATGATCTCCCAGAGTTTTTTGTTGTGACAAATTTGCAGGAAACCTCTACTTCTGGGCTTAAAGTCATTTTCGGGTAGATATTCCCTTATTCCCTAAAAACAATCATACCAATCCATTGACTTCTGGAAATTCAACATGATGGGTAGTCTATCTACATGGCAGGTGAGCTACGTTTACTCGGACCCCGCTGAGCAGCACATGCACTGTGGATGAGGCGCGACCATGAGACCAATCCATAGAACATGGGATGCAAACTCGCTGTTTGTGCGGGCCCTGTCACTTTTTTGTGAATCATTGGATATGATGCGAATGTGCTTGTGGGTCAAAACTACCCAAAAATTTGGCATTTTGACCATCCGGGAATCTTGTCTGATTGGTGTAGCCATTTCGGAATCCATCACAACTAAAATTGCCAGCCAATTCCGTTTGTTGATGGAAAATCCATTGCTCACTGGGGTTATTTGCTTGGGTATTTGTGGTGCCTAAACAAAACAACAGCGAACACAAGTGGATATGGTCCTTGTGCTTGGGAATTCCAGGATGTTTTTGCAACACTGATCGAGATTTCACCGTTTCACCGTTTCGATGAGGATTGAACAAACCACCAGGAGTTCCCTCTGAGTACCTAGAGTGGTCCCATTTATGGAGGGAAAAAGATATACAATGGAAAAACACTTGCAATTACAATCAATTACATAAGAGTTGGACACTGAAAATTGCTGCAAAGGTGTGGATGTATTTGACAGACAATGTGGGCTGGTCACGGGGTCACGTCTCAGGGAACATCTGGACAGATTTTTAGGTGGACATCCAGTAGACGGTTTTTGGATTTTTTTTTGTGCAGTGTGGGAATACTCCTGGAAAACGCTGGGGAAAACTTATGAAGCTGAGTGATGGAAGAGTCCTGTCTTAGACACCAGCTGCTCCGGGACATTGCAGAATGGCATGTTCCCTTTTGCACATCTGGTTTCAGGGCAGCTGCGCTGGAGATGTGTCCTTTGGTGATTGGTTGGGTGAAAAAAGAAGCGCTGAGGTCCGTGTAGCGTTGTGGTGTGACAGGTGTTGTGGCCCTATTGGTAGATGATGTCAGGTCAGTAAGAGATCTGAAGCTGACTTACCAATTGAAGAGGATTACGCACGAGAAAACGTCCTTTTTTGTTCTGAATATGGACACTCAAAAATGATGCCAACATCTTTAAAGGTGAAGCTTTTCTGTAAATCGCCCAGCGCTTTCGCCATGTCGCTTGCAACCTGGAGCGAAGTTCGATCATTGAATGGCTGTGAAATGATTCGATCATTTCCTTCTGCCCAGTTTATTTGGGATCAAGGGAAGTCCTGTGCATATCTTCCAACAGCCGCTTTAAACATGGCGATTTTGTATCAGATCGCTTGCAGCTTGGTGCTGAGTGTGACCCTTGTCACGGCGGTGCCAGATGCCAAGCAAGCCTTTGAGAAGTACATCAAGGACCCTGCTGGATGGTGGGGAATCACCCATGGCCAACATCATCCCCGACTGGATAGGTCGACTAGGTAGACGCCATAACCAGCAAAAGATTGACCGTGACATGTCCACGATTAAAACCCCGGTCTATATCCATATTCTGACGATATCTGACTGTCACCACACATTGAATTATGATCATCACATGCCCGCTTTTGGGTCTTCTATCACCAAGATTGGCCCATGGTTCTCATTGGCATTTCCATATCACATTCGTGAGTTGGTTGATGCCCTCACTTTAGTATGTTAGTTGATATTCATTTTTTTAAAAGTTGGTTGTTCACCCATTTGATGTATTGTTGGCTCCGAGAAATGATACTAACAACCCATGAAACACCGTTCGACTCGCAATCATTGCAACCTCAAACTCTATGGTGATAGCAGTAGGACTAGTCTTGGGTACTACGTAGAAGTAGGAGGACTTCTCAGTTGGAAGGAGGGCAGTACTGATGTAGCCGTAGCGGTCAGCCAGGATTTTGGTAAAAGCTACAAGGACGCAGCGGAGAAAGAGATGCGCTTCAAGGCCTTCTCCGAGAACTATGAGTATATCCTGGCTGAGAATGTGAAGTTCTCTTCGGGCCATGCCTACAAGTTGGGTTTGAATGATTTCTCGGATATCACGCCTGAAGAGTTCGAGAAGAAATTGGGTATGCGATTGCGACCCAAGACACTGTGGCGTGGGCCAAAGAAAGGCACCCATAAGGTGCGAAACATCTCTCTGCCCGGTTCTGTGGATTGGAGGACCAAGGGTGTTGTGACACCAGTGAAGAACCAGCAGCTGGATGCCGCTGAGATTTTTTGTTTCCTATGATGGTATACCACTGAAAAGACATTAACGACTAGCAGGGCATTTTCACCAACCACTTGGATGTGCATCGGGTGGTGAATCATAACCCATATCTACCATATCTACCATATCATCAATATCACCCATGAATCTAACTGGGGACATAAACCATAACTGGGGTATAAAAAAATGTGTGACCCACATGGGGATGCATCCAAAAACAACGAGAAAGTCGCCAAGTCGCCCCTGTTGGGTGACTCGGGGCATCTCTTCGCTCCCGTTCTCAGCCGTTCTCATACTTCATTTCTGGAAGTGCCAGAGACATGCCGTCCCATCTTGACATCTCCTATGTTCCGCGAAATATTCGGACGCTTCCTTTCCACCTCCCTAGCGCCGTTTTTTTGGGCGCTCAGCGGCCAAATCTTCTTAACAGTGAGAAGGCAGGAAAAGAAAAAGGAAAATATTCCAGATGGCGCCAACAAGGGGAACGCAAGAGAGGTGGTGGGGGAAGGGGTTCTGCGGGTTTTCTGGACAGGAGGCCTTCGCCGAGGAAGAGGCCTAACGGATATGAACACTATGAAGTGATCAGACGGGCGCATCCAAGTTGAAGGCTGCCATGCCCCCTTTTGTCTTTTTGTAATTTTGCTCATCACCTCCGGCCTTCTTTGCAGTTGTCGGACCCCGGCGTCTTCAATCAATATCCTTCTATATGCAATATCCTAAGACCTAAATTTCACACATTTTCAACTCCAAAATCAACCAGTTATGGGCAACACATGGGTTGTAAACCATAAAACTACTTGGGATGCCCCCAAAACCACCAAGGCAACAATGCGGCTCTTGTTGGGCCTTCAGTAGCACTGGTGCTTTGGAAGGCGCCTGGGCTCTGGCCACTGGCCAATTGGTGTCCCTGTCCGAGCAGCAGTTGGTGGACTGCTCCTCGAGCTTCGGAAATGAAGGCTGCCAAGGTGGGGACTTCTCACATCTGGCCCAAAAAAACCTATTCAACCATCACTTAACTATGGTTTATGGTAGATATATAACTATAGTTAATGGGGGTTATAATGGTATATAAACCAACTTATAACTGGGGGCCCCATCACTTACAGGGATTGAAACAATGAACAGTGGATGTGGGGCGTCGCCGGCGTCGCGCTCAAAATGGCATTCTCAATCGGGATAAAATGATAGAAGTGTGGAGCTAAGGCTACCCGGTTTTGAATGAAGTGACGGGCACCATCATTTGAGGATGATGGTCTCACTTTGCGGGAAAATGACAAACCCCTTCATATGTGTAAAAACAACGTCACCGTGAGTGAATGACTTTGCGTTTGTCCCAAAATTCGGAACCCCATTCCATCCAATTGGTTTGTCATCATTCCCTTGGCCATAGAGGACCATCTCCCTTTGCCTGCATATCAGACAATTTTGTTACATCAGTTTTATCAGTTATGTCCCATATAAAATCACCATTGTGGGCGGTTCAATTCCATTTTCTTGGTTTAGGCACCACTAATTTCTGGTAAATTTGGGGATGGTATGTTACTGACTTTACCATCTGGCTTTGCCACAGAATAGCTAATATCCTCATACTGATGGAAGAAATCCTGCACCACTTGGGATGGTTTTTCAAGCCCATATTGGGTTTTTCAGCACCTATTCACTGGTTTTTAGGATTTCTAGCCGAAAAATAGGTCTCCTATGGTCTCCCAGGTGGGGACATGGATGCCGCCTTTGAATACGAAGAGCAGGCCTCGGTCTGCACGGAGAAGAGCTATCCGTACACTGCCGAGGATGGCAGCTGCACAGCTTCCAGTTGTACCGTGGGCATCCCGGACCATGACGTCACTGGCGACCTGGATGGATTTGAGCGGTAAGTTTTTATTTAAAAAACGATGGAACTTCATCATTAAAAACACTATATATATATATAAACATATATTAACATGATAATTAGATCATATTAGATCATCAATCTAAATGAGCTATTGTTGGGGTTAGTGTGTTTTTGGTTACTGTTTTTTGGGGCAATTGGATAAGCATCATTGGCCATACAGTCATACATTTACATGACTGTTTTTTTTGGCGTGCTTTTGGGGTTAGAGTAAATGGATGTGTGCTGTTTTGCTCCAGTCAGTTAGTCAGTGATACCCTCTGGTAGTCAACCGTGGCTTGGAGATTGTCCCCATTTATAAAACGATGATTTTCCCGTTCGACCTCCATAAAATGGGGGATTTTCCAGCGAGGCTACGTGGACGTGCAGGCCGATGATGAAGAAGCCTTGATGGATGCAGTGGCTCAACAGCCCGTGTCAGTGGCGATTGAGGCGGACAAGCGAGCGTTCCAGAATTATCAGAGTGGCGTGCTGAGCAAGCGTCTTGGCTGGGAGTATCATGGTTTATTATGGTTATATACTGTGGTTGGTTATAAGATGTTATAGTGGGATTATAATTTATGATGGTCTTTGCAACCAAGTGGTATTGTAATGGGATTAGCATGGGGTTGACGCCACAAACATGGGAAGTTTCCAACATATTAACATATTATAACCAATCACAAGTGGGGACATTTTCATATGATTCAACAATAATCTTTGTGAAACAACAGGATCCACCATCCCCAATGGCTTAGCATTTTGATGGGTGGTTGAGAAGATGGGCATGAGGACTGGAGATCAAAGGATCCACCATGTTTTTAATGGCGCTATAATCGGATAGAATTCATGGTGGTAGAATATCTTTTTCTTGCGAAACATATTGAAAAACTGGTGCCCGATTTTTTGGGCCCTCCACATTTATGAAGAGATCCAATATTAAACCAGGACTCGATTTGAGGGTATTCATTATAGTTTAGGAGGACACGCATATTTCTGGTTACAGAATAACACCAACTCCTACATCTTGTAAGCAGATGTTTGTTCAGTGAAGGTCGGTGGAAAACCATCCTTGTTCCGTTCTGAGAGTACTTTGAAAGACATGCGCTTTCCTAGCAATGGTTGCCTTGAGTATATCTCACACAACGGCTCTGCGAAACCACCGAGGGTTTGTGGAACCTCCTTGGACCATGGCGTCTTGGTGGTGGGCTATGGCAGCCAGTGGGGCAAGGACTATTGGTTGGTGAAGAACAGCTGGGGCGCTTTCTGGGGCGAGGATGGTTACGTGAAGTTGGAGCGAGGCCTCAAATCTCTCAGATTTTTCTCATCACAGGGGTAACCCCTCAAAAAAAAAACAGCGTAGGGATCAATAAACATCTGGGACATTAGGACAAAAAAAAAGCCGGAATGTGGAACTAGATTTCAGGCCGGTTTCCCGTTAATCCTACATTGCGCACCGCGCTGGCTGGTAAGGCTGGCCATGTGAGTGGTTGAAGTTCAAGGACGATCATCATTAGTAGGACTCCATTGAATTTTGCGTATCCCAACTTTGACTCATATGCATTTGATAGGTGTGAATTGCCCTTGCCAACGTTCTTCACCAGCGATATCCCATCACATTCCCTGTATGGGTTGGTTGCAACCTAGTCATCAATTATAAACGAGGTCAACCCCAGTTCAAAGCCAGTTTGTTCTATGTATATATATATATACATATACATATAATTCTACATTAACGATATGTACTGGTTGGTGGTTTCAAACATGAATTTTATTTTCCATAATATATGGGATGTCATCCTTCCCATTGACTTTCATATTTTTCAAGATGGTTAAAACCACCAACCATTGTAAAAATCCACAGATATTCTACACATCCTCCACCCCACCAGGCAAGCCCGGCGCCGGCGAGTGCGGCATCAAGTCCGAAGCCTCCTATCCCACCGTCTCCGGCAGCGCGCCGTCGCCGCCAACGCCGCCGCCATCGACGGGGCACTATGGGCAGCCGCCGTGTAAGAAGGACGAGTCGCCCCTCCAGGTGACTGGTGGAAATCTCTGGGTTTCTATTGCAATCGGATTGAATAGGTAGATAGTTGAAGGGAATAACTTGTGGACCGAATATTGAAATCTAGATATAACTTATGATTTGTGAATCATGATTTAAACTCATGATTTAAACAAAAGGGGATATTAAACACTTGTGACTTCTGAGTAAGATATATTGGGACGTATATGGGGATAGATGCATAACTTGTAAATTGGTTTGGGGGCAAGTTATCCAACCGATTTAAGGAGTTTGAGTTCCAGAATACAGGGGTTCAAACTGCTTACTGCACGTCTTGACAGACTGGAATCTGGCACCGAAATGCCGCTTTTAATGGGTCTTACCCATCGGACTGCAGATTTTGCTGCCCCTTGTTGTTCAGCTGTCTCATTTTTGTTGGTTCGGTTGCCACCTGGCTGCACTTTGAAACACCCTGCAGGTGGTTGGGAAAGGCCAGGTGTGCACTCCGAGTTGCGAGAATGGATGCCCAACAGATGTCCCCTCCGGAACCACCGCCCGACCGCGCTGTGTGGATGACTACTGCGTCCTGAGCTGCTACTTTTCGGGATGCCCAGCTGGTGCCAAGTGCATTCACAATGCAGGCCCTTTCGCGATGGGCATGTGTGTTTATCCAACTGAGGACCCAGAAACTGAAATCGCCATTTGAAGATCCAGATCTGAAATTGGAATTTGAAGGCACGTCTTCCACCGCAAATCACCTTTGATTTCCATGATTTGACTTTCCGGCATCAAACGCCTGGTGGGTTTTGGTGGAGACGTAGCCGACGTAGCCGTCCGGTCTGATGATGAGCAGTTGCTGATTGAGCCTGCCACATCGATCTTGGTTCCAACAGCCAAAAACAGTCCCAGTCTGCTGGGTGGTTGATGCACTCATTAATGTTGGGGGTTTTCGTGTGCAACAAGGGCCAGGATTTTTGAGTCAGAGCAGGCTTCGCAATCCTCAATTGCTTGGATGATCATTCCAAGAATCTGAAGGGAGAAACCAAGAATCAAGCCTGGTTGGTGGTTTGGAACATGAATTTTATGACTTTCCATATATTGGGAATGTCATAATCCCAACTGACGATTCGTCCATCATTTTTCAGAGGGGTGGCTCAAGCACCAACCAGAAGCTGATGTAGTTTCAATGGAATATTCCCAGGAACTCTGGATTTGCTCAGAGTTCTTGGCGGCTAAAAACCTCTGTTTTCACTGGGAAGATCCCATCCTTGTTCGCACCGTTCGCTGGTACCTTACCCCGCAGCTCGCCAGAGCAACAGCAAGACATACCCAGCGAATTCCCACGTGTTGATGGGTGAAACCAGCTGCATGCCGAAGGTATGGTCTGTTTCCAACAAAGAGTGTTGCCGTGTAGATTCCAAAAGGCATCAGTTGTCTTTTCGATAAACATAGTAAACATAGCAGCTTTTTTCTTTTCTGTCACTTCGAGTCACTTCTTGTTGGTTTCCTGACTGCCGAAGCCCTGCATCTGCCGATGATGCCAAGATGGCTGACGAGGCTCCAGGGACGGATTGTGATCATCATCGATTTGGCGCCACTGAGAATTTTGACCCATTTCGCTAAGTTGTGAAAATCCCAGTTCGCCCAGCATGGCATGAAGTGGACGTGGAAATTAGATGATATATGATGATATATGATGATATTATGCACTAACATGGATCTGAGATGACTTAGTAGGTGGGAAGTGGACGTGGAGGGTAGATGAATTATGATCGAAAAGGCCATGGATAATTGTCCCCAATGGGCCAAGGCGGCCAAGGTGTTGTCTCAATGGAACATGGATCGCCTGTCGCCATGATTCTTTTTGTCATTGGCATTCATTACCCTCTGGTAATTTAACATAGCTATTGAAAATGATCATTTATGGTGGATTTACCCATTGATAGCATGGTGGATCTTTCCATAGTTATGTTAGTTTACCAGAGGGTAGCTGCTATATTATATCTCCACTACAGTTGCCCCCCATCTTCTCAATCTTCTTCGTGAAAGATAGCCTCAGCTTCTCCAATGAAATGATCATAAAGTTCATCGTGCGCTGGTGCCAGGGGGTGCGGCTGCCAGACTACCTGGAGGAATTTCCTGTTTTGGAGCAAGGTACTGTTTTTTGTAGTACATTTTCTCAGTAATTGGAATACGTGCTATGGTTTTTTAGTAACTTGAAATGGAGGTTCCTAAAGTGGTGGTACCCCCAAATAATCCATTTTAATAGGTTTTTTCATGGATTTTCCATTATGAACCATCCATTTTGGGGTACCCGCATTTTTAGGAAACCCCCATATATGTTAGTAGTAGCTATTACTGTTTTGGTAGTGGTGTAAACCATGGGCTTAGCCTATTCTCGGACAAACCTGCGTGCACAATACCAGACGGATTCCTTGACTCTTTTTTGCTGAAGATAACTGAATAGACATCCAGCTCTAAGCCATGGCAGTTTTTTGTGTTTTTCTACAAATCCAGTGATATGGGCATAGCAGAACAATAGGGTACCAGTCAGCCCCAGAAGTCCGCTGACTTTTGGTCTCCTGAACCAGTCAATTACTAAGGATCGCAGGTATTGATCAAAACCTTGGTCCCCTCAACGTCGCAAACATGAACGTCGAATCTAACAAAAACGACGAACAGTTGATGTTCCAGGATGGATTGCATCAGGATGTGAAACATTTTGAGCCAACCAGGTTGACGCCATCAACATGGATGGTTGAAGTATTTTGTGTCTAGACTGACGAACTCATATTTTTCAGAGGGGTGGCTCAACCACCAAACCAGATCCAACCAGTGAAAACATGATGAATTCATATAAACAGTCAATCCAGAAGGACAGTGGAATCTGCTCGGAAAATGTTTTTTGTCGGCTACTGCTTCTGCTACTACTGCTACTACTCAGCTTCACAATCGTTATTGCAAGAATGTGATTCCCAAGATGCACATCCAGTAAGGGGTGCTTTCACACACACCGCTTGTGATGCAGGCAGGGCCAAGAACGAAAGCATAGGGCTTCAGGATGCTTCAGACAACTCATAGAGCTTTGCTGTCACGGCCCTTGGACAGTCACCTCCTCATCATTCCAGCAAGAGGTTTAGAATTCCAAGCTGGTTTTGGGAGTTTGTTCCGCAGTTTGGCTCAAGATCAATCACTTGTAGAAACTGGTCAGTACGTTACACTGGTTTCTTGACACATGCTTCAAGTCACTGTAGCTTTGCCAAGCGGTTGCAGTGAGAAGTTCTCGATTCCGCAGTCCTCCAAAGTAGGGGACTTGAGTCTTCTGGCACAGAAGTCCTTTCAACGTGGTTTCTTGAGGCTTGTGGCTGCAGACCATAGCTTGATGGACCCGACAGTGTCTCTGCAAGCGGCGGGACTTCAAGATGGACACCACCTGACGGCTATTGTCCTGGAGGCAAAGCTAGCGGCAACAGAGGATGCTTTTGCCTTGTTTTGCTCTGGAGGTGACCGAGTTGTCACATGGGGCGATCCAGACTCTGGTGGTGACAGCTTTGGAGTCCAAGAACAGCTCAAAGGTGTCAAGCAGGTTCAAGCAACTGAGCGGGCATTTGCTGCGATCCTGGCTGATGGGTCAGTCGTGACTTGGGGCAATCCAGACTATGGCGGTGACAGCTCTGGAGTCCAAGATCAGCTTAAGGGTGTCCAGCAGCTTCAAGCAGCAGCTGAGGCATTTGCTGCGATCCTGGCTGATGGGTCAGTCGTGACTTGGGGCAATCCAGACCGTGGTGGCGACAGCTCTGAAGTCCAAAATCAGCTTAAGGGTGTCCAGCAGCTTCAAGCAACAGCTGAGGCATTTGCTGCGATCCTGGCTGATGGGTCAGTCGTGACTTGGGGCAATCCAGACTATGGTGACCGTGGTGGCGACAGCTCTGAAGTCCAAGATCAGCTTAAGGGTGTCCAGCAGCTTCAAGCAACAGCTGAGGCATTTGCTGCGATCCTGGCTGATGGGTCAGTCGTGACTTGGGGCAATCCAGACTATGGTGGCGACAGCTCTGGAGTCCAAGATCAGCTTAAGGGTGTCCAGCAGCTTCAAGCAACAGTCCATGCATTTGCTGCGATCCTGGCTGATGGGTCAGTCGTGACTTGGGGCAATCCAGACTATGCTGACCGTGGTGGCGACAGCTCTGAAGTCCAAGATCAGCTCAAAGGTGTCCAGCAGGTTCAAGCAACAGGCCATGCATTTGCTGCGATCCTGGCTGATGGGTCAGTCGTGACTTGGGGTAATCCAGACTATGGTGGCGACAGCTCTGGAGTCCAAGGCCAGCTCAAAGGTGTCCAGCAGCTTCAAGCAGCAGCTGAGGCATTTGCTGCGATCCTGGCTGATGGGTCAGTCGTGACTTGGGGCTTACCGTACAGTGGCGGTGACAGCTCTGGAGTCCAAGATCAGCTTAAGGGTGTCCAGCAGGTTCAATCAACATATTGGGCATTTGCTGCGATCCTGGCTGATGGGTCAGTCGTGACTTGGGGGGATCCGGCCCGTGGTGGCGACAGCTCAGCAGTCACAGCCCAGTTTGCATATGTGTAACATTGTGTAACCATGTTGGTGCAAAGGCGCCCTTCACTGCAGAGTCCCACAGTGTTCTTGATCGGCTTTTGGAAGACGTGAAAAGTCCAGGAAGCATCAGGAAGCAACGGGTACTTATAGGAAATGCAGTGTCTCTCCGTTGATCCCTTCCCGGAAGGGTCTAATATTTGGGCAACATATAACAAACCATGGCGTTTGCCCTCGAATTTTTGGGGTTTCCAGCGCTGAAGTTTTTCCTTCCTTCATGCCAGTGAATCCGAGAGGCAATCCAGAGACATAAAGGGGATGACCCACCACAACCATGTGATATCGTATCATTTTCAGCACAGATACATAATGAGATTTAGTGTACTTTAGTGTTGATCATTGTCGATCAACTTCGTCCAAACGGCCAATTTTGTGGGGCCCCTTGTCATCATAGATGTTATTTCCGCCCTAGTTGGTTGATGAATAGAGAGCTCAGCCTCATTCAACAACCTAGGTCAAAGATGATACCCACTGGTAATCAAACATGGCAATGAAACATCTTCCATCTATAGATACATGTTCCATTAAAACTCTATTAATAAGGGGACATTGCCACGTTTGATTGCCAGAAGGTAAGTGGTATGCACACCAGCCCATGTTTTTTTTTGCCAAAAGAACATCGCTTCTCATCCCAACCGGTCGACAAATATCACAATTATCATGCTATGAAGCGAGGAATAGGATTTGTCCAATGAGGTCAACCCTTGTTTCTGGTACCTGGTACTTGAGACCCACTTGAAAATGAGGTACCACGAAGTCCAAATAGATTAATTATCATTCTGTGTTGCATTCAAATTGCATTTTTTGGGGGTTATCCCATTTGGATCCATTTGGAGCAAAGCCAGGTGAACAGACCTGGCTTGGACATAGCAGACTGGGCTTGGACATTTTTGGTTACACGGTTACAACCCATGTTTAGATACCTGTACATGTCAAATGTTCTCTGCTGAAGTTTTATCACGGACCTAACCCAAATTCCAAAACTAGAGAGGTGCGCAACTATGGGACAACGGGACAACTCACATTTTTTTTTTCGGAAACCTCAAGATTCATCTTGTTCGCCGTAGGACCTAATATGAAATTCAAACTTTTTTCCACAGATACGGCCATTTCTGTTGCTAAACAAAACCACCAGGAGCTGCTGGCCGAGCTTAGTGGGCCCTTCCTGCGACCCAAGGAGGAGTGGTTCCGATTTTCCCAACGGAATTCCCCTTGGGTTTTTGCACATTTTGTGGTATGTCTACCCCAGGGTACCAAGTAAGATGTATGTTAGACATGAGCGTAAGGAACAGAAAAGGATAAGACATGACAACATGACAAGACCATTGAAGAATCTGGGGAAGCAACTTAGAAAGATCAACAAGATCAACAAGATGAAGAATGATGAATAATGATGTTTAGGTGGTTCTTTTTTGTCACCGATCTTCGGATAACTTGTTCTAGCCATGTGGCAATCACCCATCCTTTCAGGAGGCCAAGGGCGCTACCCTCGAGGTGTGGGTGGTTTTGGCACGTGGGCTACGGAGGGAATGTTTTTTTTTTTTTATCATCCCCAAAGTGCCGATGTCAGATGGGGTGACTTGTTGTGATTTATGCAGAACCATGATTAAACTGTCCCCAAACTTGATAGTTTGAGGGTGAAGATCTATAGTTACTATAGTTTTAGCATTTTTTTAAAAGTGAAACCGCTATTGGAAAGGGCTTTGAAACCGCTTGGGCCAACATTCGAATGATCAGCAACGAGATGCCCATCCATGTCGGGCAATGGGCTCAATTTGTGGGATGATTTGAACCATTCAAACACACATACCCTTAGTATCCCATGAAAATTCCACGGTTAAGAAACCTCCATTCTTGTTGGATGGATTCCATATTGTTGATGATAAAATATACCAGTTTTTGATGTTTGAATCAGAATTTTTGATGGTTAACTACCTGTCATTCACCATGATTCCATGGAGACCCAGCGGTAAAAGACAGCCGAGGAGATTGCTGGAGCAGTTGAGACCCTGAAGGAAACAGTGAAGCCTCAGGACGAGCGATTTTCCAGGGATTTGAGGCGTAAAGATAGAGACTTCAGCGATAGACATCGGGATTTGAAGCTGTAGGATGAGGGTAGAACAACCAACGCAAGTGGATGAGCCAAGAGAAAATGTACAGGAACCTCCATCGCTTTTTATCCTTTTTTTTTCTGTCAAAATATGGGAGTTTCCTATGACTTTTCCCTTGAACCAATTCTGGCACTTTGCGCCCGGCTGGGATGTGATTGGCTTAAAATCCAATCCGTATCGATCACCATTAAGCCAATGACCATGATTTAAGCCAAGGAAATCACCATTCGAATGATGGGAATCATGGATTATCGGAATGACCATGGGAATCACCATTCTCTTGATTTTCGAACAAGTTAGATTCCCATTATTTCCCGTATATTTGACGACCGGATTTCCTGTGATTTTTGTGAATCCCCATCTTGTTCAGTCCCATTCCCATTGTCTCCAGTCTCAAGTGGTTACCGGCTGAATCCCCATTGGTCATTGGTCATGGTTGATCAAGGTTCAAAAAACCAGATAAAAATATCCGTATCAATACACCATTGAGTTCATTGAATATCAATTAATTAATTGATCATTTTTCTAAGCAAGAAAGGAATTGTATGGAATTGTATGGAATTGTATCATTGTCGAATCCACTTGTTTCAACCATTGTTTATTTATTTTACTTTGGATCCCCCGTTGAATCCAGATTTATCTACCTCATCGTCGAACAAGAAATTTCCCAACGATTCCGCCTTGTTGATTGGATTGATAGACCCACATGGACGTCGAATGAAATTGATGAATTTCCACTGATTTTCCCTGGAATAACTATGAATAACTCATATCGGCATTTTTCACGCTAGTGAACAATCAATGTTATTCAACAAACTACGTTCATCTCCATATCCAAGTTGAATCCAGTATTATATAACCAATATCCCCACTGAATCTCCATTCATATATAGTTAATTCACCTTTAAAGAGTTAGTCTCCCCCCAGCATTACTACTGTATAAAGTCAACATCTCCAGTCCCCATTATTATGAACTAAAATATCCCTTGAAGAACTATATATATATATAACATATTGAAGAACTCTCTCTCTCTCTCTATATATATAACATATCCATACATACCCCCACAGATTCCATGGGATTTCGTCCTTTCGGTGTCCAAAATCAGGACTTGGACAGCAACGACCCCCGCCGCGCCTCGATCTTCGACGCCTTCGTCGCGGCCGGCTTCGCCTGGTCCGTCCGCAAGAAGCGCCGCGTCGCCGCCCGGCGAAGCAGCGACGGCTTCGAGCCGCAGATCGTGTGGAAAAGCGATGCCAACGGTGGAAGGCAGCTGGAAGATGCTGGAAGATGCTGGAAGACTTGAGATTTTTCTGGACATTTTGGCAGAATTTTCACTTTTAGGCAGAAAGATATATCTTTGAGTGACCTTTTGAAGATGATTTCCAAGCATTTCAATTCTTGCTTTGCATTCTCAATCCTTCAAACTGTCCTTTATATGTTCTGGTAGCTGGTGTGGATGAGCATCCCTGTGAAATAGTGAAAGAAACGATTTTACTTAAAGGAATGGCGACTTTACTTGACTGGTGAAGAACAAACTACTGAAATGGTGTGGCCGTGGCCGTTGAAGAATTGCTGGAACCATCTGGAACCCATGGCAAGTCCCCATGGCACTCAAAATGATAAGGACACGTAGCATCCACTGATCTTGGTTCACCATTCATCAGCTTTACCGGCTTTGATCATCCTGCGGATCTGGTGAATAGCCTGGCACGTTTGTCTAGATGGGCATAGTTATCATAGTTATGGTCAGGTTCACCACTTCCCAAGTGCGATCATGATGATCCACCTTTTTTTTCCATGTCCATCTAAATCCCAACTTTTCCACTGCAGTATTTTCATCAAGTCATCCCCAAATCACAGAGCGCAACGATGAGTCAACGGCCAGGCCCATGTCCAAGCGCGCCGAGATCCGCCGCAAGATCGCCAAGGCCGACGCTTCGTCGGCGCCCAAGAACCGCAGCTCCAAAGGCGTCCCCGGGTCGTCGGGGTCTGGGCGCGGAGCCAACTCCCGCGGCACGATGACGCGCCTGGAGTCGGTGATTCCGGATGAGATGCTTGGAATGGATTGGGCTTTCGGAATCCCCAAGTCACCATAGTTGTTTCATGTTGTTTCACTATTAAGACTTTAAGATGGTCTAATTGTAGATGATGAAATGGGTATCCCCATTTCAGGAAACCACTATTTCGTTTTTTAGTGATGTGGTGATCGGAGCTTGTTTTATGGGGATTGAAAGCAGGATGTTTGATGTGATAGATTTAGGATGATTGGATGAGATGCCTGGAATGATTGTGGCCATGGCTTTGTCAATGGGGGAATTGACCTTTTTTTCCTTTTTACGGCCATCATTTTTTCAGGGACATGGAATACAACGGGAATATGAAATGTAGTGGAATATTTGGAACTGAATGGAATCAGAAGCATTTAGAACTTGGGATGCACATAAACAACCTATTCAAAAGGGCATTGAATATTATTACGGGGACAAGACACTTGCAATGATATGAACGCTATATCCTGCGATTTGATCACGCTGGATTAGATAGGTCCCCATAGAACCAGGCAGTATCTGCGTGGGTTTGGTTGTAACTCTCAAAATCTCATGATCAATCCAATAATCATGAATATCTCCATGAGAATTGCCGCAAATGAGGGTGAGCCCCAATTTTTCGAAACAACTTGAGACTCTTGCTTGGGATTCGTGTTCGGGGATGTTTTGTCGGTTCTTGGGAGTTATCTTTTACGAAAGCCAGCTAGCTGGATCGTTGCTGTCTGCGAACAAAGTGAGTATAAGGGGGTCTGGGGGGAGGGCTTGCCCAAGTCCGCTAAAATCTCGCTATTACCTGGGGGGAAGGGTGGGTTTTGGGAGCGTTTTTCCGGGTCATGTACCATGCGGCAAAAGGGTGACGGTAGGGTATCGATTCCCCCTAGGTCCGCATTTTGGGGAGCCTTTTGGGGTGCTTGGCAGAGGAGCCGATGTCTGCGAGAAGGGGGAAGGAGTGCTAGCACAGATAGGAAAGGTAAGGGTAAAGGCGCCTTTTGCCACTGCTGTCGATGTTGGTGGAGGAAGGACAAAAGTCGCCCGGCTCGAGGGCCTTTGTCGGGCACTGTGATGTCAGATGGGAAGGTGTTTGTGTGAAGGAGGAAGGAGGGCTAGCGCATAATGCGAGGTTTGAAGGCGTAGACATACCAGCTTTCACAAAAATTAACCACCAAAAGTACCGTGGAGGAGGTACATAATGGCCTGTGAAGCAGAATGTAGAGCATTCCTGACAATTCAGGCCGGGTTCGCTTTTCACTTGTTCTTTTGGATAAGAACCATCACAAGAGGATTGCAAATATTCGAACGGTGTTTTGCCAGATTGGTACCATGGTATAAGATGATGCGAAGAAAAACGCGTGGTCCGCAAATATACTGCCCGACACATAAACAATCACAAACACCTGCATTGTTGAACAGCCTGAATCTAGCTTAGTGATGCTGAGTCCTGCGCGAACAGAGGTTTTGGAAAGCCCGCAAAAGGAAGATCATTTGACCATTGCAATTTGGATCTCATGTTTTCAATCTGTTTTTGCGTGAATTTACTTCCATTTTCACCTTCGTGCGCCAACATGTCACTTTGAAATATGGAGCTCCTGGTTGATGTTACCCGCCAGAAAAAGTTGTCAGTGATGCTGACAGTCTTTCTTTTGCCAACTGATAAGCGTTCCAGCAAGCCCGGAACAACAGAGCGCCGTCCACTCGCAACCGGAAGGTGTTACAACATCGCACTGGTGATTCTTTATTTGTTGCGGATTTCATGGTGTGTCATGTTCCTCTAGATCAACTCCAACATCCACTTGATTGATGAGTTTTTGATGCTTTCTTCATCGTTTGCTGATGTTTCATGCCTCTGGTTTCTCAGCCAGAAGAGGGGCTTTATCTTCTCTTGCTTGTTCATGATTTATTGACAACATATGCATTGAATATCAAATATCATGTTCCTTCATTCATAACCAGTACTTCTCCATGCGTCAATTATTCATTAACCATTGATGGGTAACCATGAATCAAACTTATACCTGCTTTATGGCTGATGATTTTCACGTAGATCGAACCGGTGGGAATCCTGTGCCCAACAAAGCTCGGGATTGCCTGTACTACCGCGAGCAACAGCTCATCACAGGGGAAGACTTCATGTGGTTTACGTGATTTTTCATGCTCTGCTTTCTGAGCCTGTCGATCCATGCCAATAAACCCATCCTTCTTGGATGGATCTTACAAGCTACCGAACAAGTTGGGCTTTGGATCATCAATGGATCTATCACTGGGGCAATCAACTCCTGGACCTCGATTTCTGAAAAAATCCAACTGTTCCAGCAGATACTCCGGCCTACTGAATCGCGCCTGCTGATGTTTTCCAGATACCTCTGACCGCCGGAAAAGCTGACATGGGTGCCGTGACCGCGCCACAGACCTGTTCCGGGATTCCTTCACCTTGAGTCACGGCTCGGAATCCGCAGAAGCACTTGGTTTTCCACTACTCCAATTTTGCATATCGAACATTTCATCAACAGTTCCATTCGGGCCAAGGCGTTGCGGTTAGGCTTTGCGGGAAGTCACCCACCAATGGGGGTAAGTGCTGAATCTATGAACCACAACCAATAATCATGGCAACAACAAAGATCGTTCTACACTAGCATCAGTTCTAGCAATGTATCATCATCATCATAATCATCATCGTCATCATCACCATCGTCGTCATCATCATCCTCGTAATTATTACGAAAGCCAGCCCTTCCTTCCCTTCTTACTACCAAGCTCCTGGCTTTCGTTCCTCCCTTCTCAGGTTTCTTCACAAGGAATTGGGAATTGGCAGATTTTTGGGCACCATACCAGCAATGAAGGATCAGTTCCTTAACATGTTTCCGCCCTGACATAGTCACGTTTCCTCAGATTCGGACTCCCCCCATTTTCTCCAAGGACCCCGACGGCCACTCCCTTAGAGATCACCGGTTTCGATCTGCTGGGTTTGGACACCGATCTGACGCCGCACCGCACGGGCAGCCCAGTGACGCCCCTAACGAGTCGACCGGTGACGCCACGGAGTCGGCCGAGCACGCGACCGACCACACCGGTGGAGACGAAGTTGGAGTGTCCCATGGTGGTGAGATCGCTGGTGCCCAACGTTTCGGCCTCCATTCCGGAAGCTTTGGAGATTGAAGATCAGATAGGTTTTACATGGGTTTTGTATATATTTTTTCCTGTATAGTCTGTATACTTTGAGTTGTTTGATTTTTTCATAATTTTTCATAAATCATCTGAATCATGTCATCTTTTTCTTACCCAAATTGGGCAGTTTCAAACAGCCCAAATCCTCAGGAACCTGGACCAGAGGTCCCGGAAGGCAGGAATTGGACCAGGGAATCCTCCATGGATCCAGGTGAGGATGGCCATTTTTTCCGGGCCATCTCCTGTGCACACCGTGGGAAGTACAATCGAGCCTTGAGCTCCAGTTTTCTCAGGCAGATCAGTGCCTTGGGCGAAGTTGAGTGGTTGAGAAGTGGGATGTAGCCAGTTTCGGGCGAAATCATGATGCTTGATTTGGCGTATATGGGGAATCAACCCAAAATGATCCAACAAACTGGATTTTTTCTTTTTAGTCAGTTAGATAAAGCGAACATTGTGATTTGCCTAGATTCTTGATGTTTGTTTTGTCCAAATTGCTGTTAGGGGAAATGTTTTTCGGGGTGCATCCCATATCATGGGTTAAATCATGATGGTTTTTCTGGTTGAGTGGGGAATCATGCCTGACCTAACATTTCAGGTTGGTTATGCAACTATTTACCCACATAGTTGATAGCCTTTTCTTTTTCTTTTGTTTGAAAATAGTTTCCTGGAGACTCGCTAGTTCCATGGAAGGGAGTTGGACACATCATTTGTTTTTGGGAAAAGTCTCAAGGAATCCCCTTACAAATTAGAGGCGTGATTTGTGGTTTCCGGTCAATATTTCTATTGCACTTAAGTTTTTCTTCGCCCCAATTGAAATCATTTTTAATAGCCATTGGAAAAAAATAGAGCTTCTATTTTCCATTTGCCTTCGTGCAATCTTTTGCTGTCATTTTTCTTCATTTATTGCCAAAAAACCCATGGTTTCCTGCAGTTTTTCCTTGTTTTTTTTCCCATTGAAAATTGAAAGCACATTTTCCATCGCATTTTCCAGCCGCGTCAGGTCCCATGTTGCGGCAGATCTCCCCCGAGCGGCAGCAGGTCTCGGAGGGTCGCAGCGGTCAGGGCTCGCCTCCGCCGGAGTTCCGGCGGCTCATCTCGCCAGCTTTCAGCAAGACGAAGTCCGAACCCATGCCCGCCATGACCTCCTCAGGCCCGGACAAAACCGCGGAATCTGGGAGAATTTGGGCATTTTGTGGCATTTTGTTTGGCATTTTTATTGATTAAGAACTCACCAAATCCACGGCAAATGTCTGAAAGCGACTTTTCTGTTGGGATGGGCGATTACTAAGGGTCTATGTTTGGGCGGATGGTAAAACTGCATAGTTTCTAGCAATTTCACTCAAGGTTTCCCAGTTTCCGAAACATGGACCTACAAATGGGCCTGAAAGCTGGAAAAACGAGGAGAGAAATGGACGCCATGATGAGTGAGATTGTAAAGTTCAATCGATGGTTTATTGAAACAAAACTACGCTCTGAACATGTATTAATCACACAACAAGAAAATGTGTGATTTAACCATCATCAATGCAGGGGTAATTCTGCAAGAGGCCAACTCTGGTGAACATATGGCTGGTGGTTTTGTCGAGTCAGGCTGACATCGACCCTCAAATCATGATGAAAATCCTGATGCCTGGTGAAATCCCCGTGAAATCCAAGCGGAATCCTGCAAATCTGCCGAAAAATCACCCCGTTTTCATGGGACAACTTCCAATTTTTCTTGCCGAAAAATCCCAACTTTGCTCAAATCCAACTATTTCTCTGGTAAAAAAGAAGCCAAGTTAAGTCGACTCCAAATTTTGGCTGGTTGTACCCCTCTTTGATGCTGAAATCCCAGCCATGTTTACCAGTGAAATCCCAGGGGCAAATCCTCAGGTTTTCGGTTGAACGAAGCAACCCAAAACAACCAAGATCGAACAGCACTTGAATTGACCACTATCTTAGTATTCTTAGTTTCGGAATTTCCCCCCCAAAAATGAGTGATACATTGAAGCTCTTCCAAATATTTGTTGGGGTTTACCCTTCACAAAAAAATGAGTGAAAACTCTTCGTGTTTCGAAGCCAGGGGTCGAGCGCGCCGGTGCCCAGCTGCCCAGTCCCATCAGCTTCCAACCTGGCGCCGAGGTGGCTGATGGTAAACATCCCATGGATTTACCCTCTGGTAAACATACAAAAACCTATGGAAATTATGGAAATTCACCATTTTTTTTTTCCCCCACATCTTTGTGTGGGGTTCTTGTTTTTGATTCTGGATCCCGCGGCCTCCGCCTCCTCCTCCTCCGCCGCCTCGGCCTCCTCCTCCTCCTCCTCCTCCTCTACATCACATCATTGTCACACACACACAACTTTGTCACACACCATCTTTCACGCACAACTTTGTCACCCACCATCTTTGTCACGCACCATCTTTCACACACCATCTTTCACACACAACTTTGTCACCCACCATCTTTGTCACGCACCATCTTTCACACACCATCTTTCACACACATCATTGTTACACACAACTTTGTCACACGCCATCTTTCACACACAGCTTTGTCACACACCATCTTTCACACGCACACAACTTTGTCACACACCATCTTTTACACACACACAACTTTGTCACACACCATCTTTCACACACAACTTTGTCACCCACCACCTTTGTCACACACCATCTTTCACACACACAACTTTGTCACACACCATCTTTCACACACACAACTTTGTCACACACCATCTTTCACACAACTTTGTCACACACCATCTTTCACACACATCGTTGTCACACACACACACACACAAGTTTGTCACACGCCATCTTTCACACGCAACTTTGTCCCACTGGCACTTGGTCACATGCACCGCGGCACTTTGCGCGGCAGGCATGGCATTTGGTGACATCCAGCGGCACTTTGCGTGGCAGGCGTGGCACTTGGCGACATCCAGCGGCACTTTGCGTGGCAGGCGTGGCACTTGGCGACATCCACCTTCGTCTTGTGTGGCAGGCGTGGCACTTGGAGACATCTACTTTTCATTTGCGTGGCAGGCATGGCACTTGTGGCACTGCGCTGGCTCTGGTGGCGCGCTTGGGCTGGGATTGGTCGCCGGTGACGCCGCGGCACTTTGCGTGGCAGGCGTGGCACTTGGTGACATCCAGCGGCACTTTGCGTGGCAGGCGTGGCACTTAGCGACATCCACCAAAGCAATGAACTTTTCGTTTTGTGCAGTCACAGCTGCAAGTGACATGCTTTGATGTCTCTGCACGGCATCTTGGGACCCTGCACATTGTTCTTTTGCCGCACACCATCTTTCACACACCGCTTTGTCACACACCACCTTTCGCACACAACTTTCACACACACGATCTTTCACACAAAACTTTGTCACATACACCATTTTCTTTGTCGCACACCATCTTTCACATACCACTTTGTCACGCACAACTCTTCACATACAACTTGTTTTATTTCTCGATCCTCCACCACATCCTTTGTCTTTCCTTCCTCCCCCGTCCCCGCTACAACATTTGTTGCTCATTATTGGAAGAAGTTGACTTGTGGGGTTATCCGGTCCTTTAATTTTCGGGAAATCAACTATTTCGAGTGGGCCATTTTCAATAGCTATGTTAAATTACCAGAGGGTATAGGTTTTCTACCATCAACTGCAGGATTTCGCAAGCAGAACCACCAAAGACGGCTGGGACAATCAGAAACTAACACCGCCATTTGGTGGGAAGGAGCTCCTCGGAGATGGATGAAGAAAAAAACATATAACTATAGCAATCGATGTATATATATATACACATAATAACATCCATCTAACTATAGTTAGTGGTTATGACTCTGTGTTGCAAAGTATGATTATAAACCCATTAAATCACTATTTCTGTGGATTAACCCCGATGGAAACGCCTAAAAAAACCCGCTGCAGGTCCAGCGTCTGCAGACCCACGAAGACGAAGATGGAGATGATCAAGGCGACATCAGGGTCAAAAATTAGGGGATTTGACGAACACCCGTGGAAAATGATGGATCGACAATGCGATTTTTGGGTACCCTTTTTTCCGACAAGCACAGAGTGCAGATTAAACATGAGAGAGAAACAGATGCAAAGGTCAAGGTTCGTCTATAGCAGAAAATTGTATATAGCCCGTCTATCATTGCGAGCCCTTCAAAATCGGAGATGGTCAGATTGGGTTTGAGTAAAGGCACTACTCACTACATCAAACATCTCTAAAGTCCAAACATCAAGCATCTCATGCTCAGTGTCTAGGACAAATCCACCGTTTTTTCAAATCACGAAAGGTTCAGACGCTGGAAGATACGCACCCTTAGAGGAGGTCGGGAAGGGATGGCTGCGGAATTTTCAAGATGTTTCAACCCAAGAATTCCGCAGAGACCCTGAGAATTGGCGAAAAAATCAGAGAAAACTTGGTTTCCCAGGAGGACAAGGACAGCAACTTGCCAGAGACCAGTAAGAGCAGCTTCAGCAAGAGCAGCTTTGGTCTCGACAAAACCTTTAGCTTCAAGGCAGGGTGGGGTGCACTCTGGATTTTTGCCGCTATCCATGCTATCCTGACCAAAAACGCTCAAAATTATTGTGGATGATTGATCTCCAGTGTTTGGAAGCAACACAAAGTCGGCAATGCAAATGGTGTTTCTTACCCCATCCGCCGGAGTTTCGTGCCGGTGCCAGGATGACGGGAACATGTCCAGAGAGTTCAGCTGGGAGGCGAATTTGCATTGGAAAGATGTCGGAAGTGACTTTTTTCAACAAAGATTACCTGGTTGGTGGTTTGGAACATGAATTTTATTGTTCCATATATTGGGAATAGTAACCCCAACTGACTTTCATATTTTTCAGAGGGGTGGCTCAACCACCAACCAGTTACATATTTCTATGATGTAGAAGCACATCTCATGGATGAAGCTGCACCTTTGGATGTTCAACAATATCATGGGATGCCTCTCAGACTGTTCATCATTGGTCGAATCCCTACGGTTAAATCATGTTAAATCCCTAATTATATTTCATAGTTGAATCAAGGTATAAATCTGTACAACTCGGAGCTAGCCTCATGAAGGTTGAGCACAGAAACTGCACTGGCAACATGGGTGAAGGCTATGTCATATCATACGAAGTTCCCTGGAAAAATCACATTAGATCTCATGAACGATTCCATTAAATCCCATATTCCCATGATATTCTCCCATATACCATTCTGTAAACTCACGATGTGGACAACCCACCAATGTAGATCAATTTCCGAACGCCTTTCCCCATTGGGTTTTCCACATCTATATTTCGTTGACCCCTTGGTGTATCAATCTGATTGAATCACAGGGGTATCGTGGAAGATGAATGTTCTATCAGATTCATGGTTTATTATAACTATTGTAACTCCTAGTGTACCATTGGGAAGCTGCATTGGGGTATCAATCTGCAAAATTCTCAACTTCCATCGCTTCCATAGGCGCTGGACGCCCCCGTGGCGCCTTCGGACGCGCGGAGCACCGCTTCCTCAGCCCCACAGCTGGACGCGAGCATTGCGCCCGCGGCGCAGGGTCAGGGAGCGACAGATGCGTCAATGGAACCATCCGGAGCCTGGGATTTCAGTGGTGAAAATTGGAATTTCACCAGCAAAATTGGGTGATTTGAGCAGGAGATAGTTGGGATTTCACCAGTTTCTCATGATTTTAAGCATGGAACATAAGAATCAAGCAGTTTCAGAATAATAGTGGTTGGAAAGAGGTGCTTACAGGTGATTTTCACCATTGTATAGAGGGATTTAACCATCAAGCATGGGGGTTTGTCTTTGCACATGGGGTTTCATCAGCCATTTCCTGGGGGTGGCACCGGAAAACATCACCATCAATATGAGTTTTGCCAAATGGGTACCCGAAAACCGTCCGTGAATCATCATTTTCCCGTCAAAAATTGCGATCAATCCCAAATTTTGGACAACCCCAAAATGGGGAGTATCTCTCTGTAAGCCCATCCACCTAATATTAAATACAACCAATTTTTGGGACCCACTTTATGTCCGGTTTCGTTTGGTGTGACTTAAGTGACTTAGTATTGGGGGAAGGGATTGTGACTAATATTAATCATCCATGGTGATTGGGATTTTGATTGGGATAATTGTTTATCATGGATGATTCTTCACCATGAATAGGGATTCTTCACCATGAATAGGATTAGACCATATGATTTTGATTGGGAATATTAGGGTCTAAAAACTGTGAACATTAGGTAGTGTTCAATGCGTCGATAGTGAAGTCTCCAAATATTCCTTCAATCACTTCAGCAGCTCATGGTCTTTGATTTCCACTCAATTCCTCGAAAATGCCTCAGAAATGAACGCGGTTTCTCGCGGGGTTCAACAGGTACAGGTTGTAGCCCTCAACAGGTGATGGGCCGATGGCCGTGTCGATGCACATGTATATATATATATTATATGTATATTATATGTATATATATATAATATGTATGTATATACTGTATATACACACAGATATTTCTACATACTTACAGTTATCAGTTGGAAAGGACATTTGAGGAACATCTTTTGGTTTTGGTGGAGTTCTTGGGTCACAGAAATCACCGAGGAGAGCCCGACCCCCAGCAGTCAGTGCTCGATGTGGGCGCTTCGATCAGCCTATCTTCTGAGGACCTGAGGAGGTGTCGACTGGGGAGGATTTTTGGCTTCCCAAACTTAGGATTTATTCAACGATGTGGGATTTCAACGAGCAGACAGTGGGTTTTAGCCAGCAGAGATTGGGATTGAAGCAACCAAAAAAAGAGTCATTTGAGCTATCAAGAAAAAGAGTTTCAACCAGCAGAAAAAGGGAGATTCAACAACATATGAAATGTTTTTTTCACAAAGACAATCATCAAAAACAATATCAGATGAAATATATTTTTAATCACCAAACATTGATGAACATTTCCTGAAAAATAAATGTTTCAATTGCCAGATTAAAACATTGGAACTTTCCCGAAAAAAAATCATGGGGAATTTGAAACTCCTGTGGAACAGTTGGATATCCAGGACCTTGGTAGCGTCTACCTGGTTCCGCCCTGGGCACTACGAGACCATCTCCAGCTGGATTCGCGAGTGGGATCCAACTACTGATGTCGAAAATCATAAATCTACGGCGACTTATGCAGTGAATTTTGGGTTTCAATTATGGTGGATATTTAGATATATTTAGGGATTAGGATTCAGAAGGTTTTAGGCTTTAGGGTTTTAGGATTTCTTTGGGAAAAGGCAAGGAAGAATTGACATTTCCGCAGTGTGCATGTGGAGTCTAGATGGGTGGGCAAACCATGGGGGCCATGGGGTCGAAGTGATGTTGTTTCAACATGTTTCAACTCACAAACCGAGATTCAATGTGATTTTACCAGCAAAACAAGTAGGTTTAAACCTACGAACAGAAGATCTTGCCATCAGAATGTAGGCAGCAAGGCCCTAGAGTTGTGACCGTGCTGGTTTTCTCCAGGGCGCTACCCCACTGATGCGCGAGAGCATGGACAGAGAGCTTCAAGAAGTCGTGAAGGCGTTGGAACAGGTGGGGACCCCAGGTTGAACTGAGACAACCCCCCAAAAAAGGGCAGGGGCATCGATGGCATCGATGGCATCAACGACCCCTCCTACCAGGGATGTGTCAGCAGAGACATGAATTGGCTGACTTGCGACTGATGGCTGCTAAGCGGTTTCTAAGTGAGACTGTCAATCAAGTACAGGTGAAAACTTGCTGACACAAACGCAGGTTGTTCTTCCGAGAGGATTTGTTGTTTGCAACTATAGAGTTTCGCGCGAGCTGGTTTTCAGAAAATTCTGATCGTGGCATTGCTATAAGCGTTTCTATACCATCAAGTAGTTTTTCTGATGCATTGTTCGTTTGTTTTTGGTGACTTGTGACTTTGGAACGCTTATTGGCCATTTGTATCCGAACATTTCTGATTCTACAGGTTTTGAACCTTAAGCCTCCAACTTGAACATCAAGAATCAGAATTTTCTGATTGTTATCCAAAAAAAATGCAAATCAGAATTTTCTGATTGTGATCAGAATTTTCTGATTGTTATCCAAAAAAAATGCAAATCAGAATTTTCTGATTGTGATCAGGATTTTCTGATTGTGATCAGAATTTTCTGATTGTGATCAGAATTTTCTGATTGTGATCAGAATTTTCTGATTGTGATCAGAATTTTCTGATTGTGATCAGAATTTTCTGAATTTTCTGATTGCGATCAGAATTTTCTGATTGCGATCAGAATTTTCTGATTGCGATCAGAATTTTCTGATTGTGATCAGAATTTTCTGATTGTGATCAGAATTTTCTGATTGTGATCAGAATTTTCTGATTGTGATCAGAATTTTCTGATTGCGGTCAGAATTTTCTGACTGTGATCAGAATTTTCTGATTGCGATCAGAATTTCTTGATTGTGATCAGAATTTTCTGATTGTGATCAGAATTTTCTGATTGTGATCAGAATTTTCTGATTGTGATCAGAATTTTCTGATTGTGATCAGAATTTTCTGCTTGTGATCAGAATTTTCTGATTGTTATCCAAAAAAATGCAAATCAGAATTTTCTGATTGTGATCAGAATTTTCTGATTGTGATCAGAATTTTCTGATTGTGATCAGAATTTTCTGATTGCGATCAGAATTTTCTGCTTGCGATCAGAATTTTCTGATTGTGATCAGAATTTTCTGATTGTGATCAGAATTTTCTGATTGTGATCAGAATTTTCTGATTGTGATCAGATTTTTCTGGTTGCGATCAGAATTTTCTGATTGTGATCAGGATTTTCTGATTGTGATCAGAATTGTCTGATTGTGATCAGAATTTTCTGATTGTTATCCAAAAAAAATGCAAATCAGAATTTTCTGATCACAATCGGAAAATTCTGATTGTGATCAGAAAATTCACTCAATAAGGTTTTTTTTTTCTCAATTTTGCTTATTTTGTTGCAAAATTGAGAAAAAAAAACGCTTATTGAGTGAATTTTCTGATCACAATCAGAATTTTCTGATTGTGATCAGAATTTTCTGATTGTGATCAGAATTTTCTGATTGTTATCCAACAAAAATGCAAATCAGAATTTTCTGATTGTGATCAGGATTTTCTGATTGTGATCAGAATTTTCTGATTGTGATCAGAATTTTCTGATTGCGATCTGAATTTTCTGATTATGATCAGAATTTTCTGATTGTGATCAGAATTTTCTGATTGTGATCAGAATTTTCTGATTGTGAGCAGAATTTTCTGATTGTTATCCCAAAAAAATGCAAATCAGAATTTTCTGATCACAATCAGAAAATTCTGATTGGGATCAGAATTTTCTGATCACAATCAGAAAATTCTGATTGGGATCAGAATTTTCTGATTGTGATCAGAATTTTCTGATTGCGATCAGAATTTTCTGACTGCGATCAGAATTTCTTGATTGTGATCAGAATTTTCTGATTGTGATCAGAATTTTCTGATTGTGATCAGAATTTTCTGGTTGTGATCAGAATTTTCTGATTGCGATCAGAATTTTCTGATTGTGATCAGGATTTTCTGATTGTGATCAGAATTTTCTGATTGTGAGCAGAATTTTCTGATTGTTATCCCAAAAAAATGCAAATCAGAATTTTCTGATCACAATCAGAATTTTCTGATTGTGATCAGAATTTTCTGATTGTGATCAAATTGAGAAAAAAAACGCTTATTGAGTGAATTTTCTGATCACAATCAGAATTTTCTGATTGTGATCAAATTGAAAAAAAACACACGCTTATTGAGAAATAAACAAAACCGAAAGACCGAAAACAACAAACAAAGACTCAAAACAATTCTTTGCTTCGACCGACCCCCCCGTCACAGAAACCCTGGCATACATTCTGGCATTCTATCATCTGTAATTTCTTCTGGTGTCGCTTCGGGCGTTCTATCTGACATCAAATATGGCGTTCTATCTGGCAAATCTTTTGCAAATTTTACCTGGCAAAAGTTTTGGCGTTCTGTCTGGCATACATTCTGATCCGACTGGTGAAAAGTTAGATTGCTGAAGATTTGCCGGGTTTGGGTCTCATGTCGCGACCACCGTTTTTTTTTGCCTGTTTGCTGGTTTTCACCCATCGAATGGAAGAGCAATATGACATATAGCATACATATTTATGTTTGGTACAGGGCTTGAACCAGGACAAGTAGCTGGAACGCTTGATATGCGTTCTTGTGCACCTTCCATTTCAACATGACACTTTGGTACGCTTCTGAGGCCTCCCGGTAACCTAAAGTGAGGTCCGAACGCATATCCCACAAAAAAACCTTCTCCCACGAAACTTCATATTTGCAACCCTAAGATTTTCATATTCCAGGGCCACCGTGAGGTTTGCACGGCTTTGTGATTGCAATGCTTTCCCTAAAAGAATAAGGCCTCTACCAAGGGATTTGTTCGAATGCCTTCGAATCTTTGGAACTTCCCACTCTCCACTATTTTTCTTGCGAACCTTTGGATTATTCAATAGAACTTCCCTGTTTTGTTGGCATTTTCCCTGCTTTTCCAAACGTAACGGCACTGATCCCTGCCATCCCCACAGGCGCCAGCTTTGCGTGGCAGAGTCCCCAGTGTCCGGACGCCAGAACGACCAAGTCTGGAGCCCTAGTTTTTGGAGTTTGGGAACTGGAAATCGAAAAAACATTGGTGATTTTCCAGTTTGGCAATTCTTGAAGTACGGGAGGGGTCGTTCGACGGAGATTTCTTGGAGCAATATAGGTAGATGATTTCTACAGCATATCTGCTCAAAATGGAGCATCCAGTTGCTAAAATCCAGGGGCTATAGCTAGATTTCTACGGCATAGCTCAAAATGCATAGATCGCCGCTGCAAAGAGGGAGGAAACATCTTGGAACGGCTTCGAAGACCTGGTGATCAGGACCCCCAAAAAGATTCGGATTTCACCTTCATCTCTTAATATATATAATATATAATATATATATATTTTTAAAATCATAGTGGAATACCAAGCAATTTACGCAATTTTGTGCTTCAATTTCGTGTAACTTCTCTTCAAGCCACCAACAAAGCGGCCAGATTCCGGTGGTCTGGTGGCTCGGATGCGACATTTGGTGGCCGTTTGGGACCTCAGAGGACCCCCAGTTTCAACGGGACCTGGGGGATGTTGCAACGGCGTCAACGGCGTCAACGGGATGACAATTGGCAGTTTCTATGATTTGCTTAGAGCTGTTTTTCCCCAAACAGCTCTTGAGCTGAATGGGGTTCTCAATTCTTGCTAGAAACGGCCTTTGTTCCCTCATGATTTGCTGGCTCCTCCTGGTTCCGCCTGGGTCTCCCTTCTTCTCTCTTCTCTCTTTCCTCAGGAAAGGGCTTCTGTTCCATCATGATTTGCTGGTTCCTCCTGCTTCGGGCTGGGGTTCCGGTGCTTGTCTCCCTTCTTCTCCATGTTTTTTTCGCCTCGTATTTGAAGGAGTAAAACAGAAGACAGGAGTGTGCCAGACAGTTCCAAGAATTTTGAATTGCACATGACCTTGGTGGAAACATGCGTTGTTGCTGTTTGGGGTCTATGCTGGTGTAATTTTTTCGAGCAGCTAAGAACGAAGTTTGTGCGCTTAGTATCTAAGATGGGCTATGGGATATCGGACTCCCCAGTGATGACACACCGTGTTGACACACCCATGAAGACTGTTATATGGGGGTTTCCATAAATGGGAGTACCCCAAAATGGTAGATTTCTAATGGAAAATCCCATGAAAATGGATGATGTGGGGATACCCCTATTTCAGGAAACCACCATATGGGATTGTCAAAGGGTCAAGATGGGTTTTCGGAGTGAGAAAGAGATGACAGGATGGCCTCATTTTGGGCCCGAGTTGGAACCCACATGTGCCATGGGCAAAAGTTGGATCGGAGTGCATAACCCCATCCCCCCATTGATACCGATTAACATACCCACTACTTTTGGAATCCGCTATGATGGTGGGATGACCTTAGCCCATAATTTTTGACCATGGCACACATGAACATATCCAAGAGTATGTTCAAAAATTAGATAGTTTAGTTTAGCAAAGCTCTCTCTATATCCTATTGAGTTTTTATATATTCTACCCAGTTTCACGACACAAAATGATTGACCAAACTTGGATGGGTCATAAGTACCAAGCATAGTGGAAATTGGGTTAGTTCCCCCATTGGTCCAGGCCCAACATAACATACTCCTTGTGGTGGACAAGCCTGGTTTATCTCATTTACAACTAGTTTTTTGCCATGGTTCTTGACCAACTGCGATTTCTTAGATACCAGGTTTCTATAGATTTCTTAGAATCTAAGTACCAAATCCAATTCTGGTCAAGTATCCTCTGACACCTTTCGAATGACGAGCGATTAGACCATCTCCTAAGGATGATCCAAGCCCGATTGGCTAAGGATATCATCTCTTTTCAATATAGTATCATCGTGCATCATCCTTCATCTCATCTTCATGATTCATATCTTACTTTTACCTATAGAAATCTCTGGATTCCCTGAAATGCATATCTCACCGAGGCCAGCCCTGAGTTGATTCCAGTTCGTCCAGGTGAGTCTGGTTTTTCAGTCATCATTTTCGCGAGAGAACTAGCCATAGCTACTGATTGCGTACGTTCACATTCGATGCAGAGAATCTGGACCCACAGTCATCTTTTTCGAACTCAAGGGCCGTCTGCAGCCACCTGTGAGGTCCAAAGATGGCACTGGGCACTTCACTCCTCAGCTACTGCCCCAGTCTCCAGGTTACGAAGAACGCATACCATCCTTTGCCGTCGTCATCATGACAATCATGATCACCGTCATGATGATGATTCTGATAGTAATATACTATATTCTACCTAGTAAATATGATATCACACACACACATATATATAATTATATATATATACACATACATTAGAATTATATGTATCATGCTGATGTTCATCACAATCCAAATCAATCCATATCTACCCATACCCATCATATTTCTCACCAAAAAGTTGTCCTTGGAATTCCTTGGTGGCGCTAAGGCATGTCTCATCCATCGCGTAGCACGACCAAGGCGCACAGTTTGGCTGGAACCGATTTGTCCATGGAGCGTTGGCTAGTGATGCAAGTTGGAACCGAATTCGGCATGTGCCATGGTCAAAACTTGAGTAGCCTCTGGGCTCAGGCTTCCACGTAAAGAGGTGGGGAGGTGGCCCCTTTCTAACTAAGCCATGCAGCTTTCCCACGTTCCTCCTCTGCTGATCCTCGAGTATGTGACCCCATTGCTTTCGGTGTGCCCCTGCCACTATCGAGTGACTTGTGTTTTGACTTTGATTGGCCTTCGGGTGGTTGCTATTGGATCTTCAGAGGTTGTGTTGTCCGGTCTTGTGGCTACTTCTCATCTTTCGGCGAAATATCAGTGAGTTCCGTGGCATGGGACTGAAGTCGGGTCGCGTCCACATGACATCACAGACAGTTACCTCTTGAAGATGACCCTTGAACCATGGAGTAGATTGACGTCCGTTGTTTGCTCGCATGCATTTGGCCTGGCCAAGCATCTTGAAATCATGACAGATGGTGGAGGTGTGATGCCAACACCTGAATGCAGGAACCCAAACCCTTATGGCATGGTGTGTGTCGTAGGATTGCTTTGCGGAGGATATGATGTATGGGCTCATGTCACTCGCTTTCTGCAATGCCTTGATTTGCCGGTGACTTCAGCCTTTGCCCCGGACTTGAGCCATAAGTGTGTTCTAGCCTACCAGCATCTACCAGCGCACTCTTGTGCATCACTTGTAGGTTCTGGCTTGTCAGTCTGACTTCGATGATGTTGATAGCTTGCCACCCGAGCTTGTCATTGAGTAGGAAGTCGTGACCGCACAATACAAAAAGTAAGAAAGCCGGAGGCGGAACACCCCGAGTTTACCAACAGTTAGGTGCCTGCACTTTGTGACAGGTTTTTCCTTGACTTGATTTGCTTGCAGTTGATGCTTGCTTGTACTTGTTTGCCAAAACTCTCTTGCTTGCCTTTGTGCTTGAGCTTGTTGCTGTACATTTCCCTGGCATACTGCCAGTACATTGTAGTTAGCTGCGTGCTTTCCATTCTCGGTTTACCCGCCTCCTTGCATCTCGTACCCCCCTTAACCGGGAAGGGGCGCTGGTGCTGCGACTTCGTGCGCACTGTATTCCGTCAAAACTTGAGTAAATTGCCAATTACTATTAGACATGGAAATTTGTGGGATATATAGTGACTTACAACCACAAATTGGGTTATATACCACTTTCTTTTTTTTGGATGGTCACCAATCCATTTTCATAGGGATTTATATACCCATGACGTTTGGATTCTCATTATGGATGGCCATACCTCGTTCACGCCATGTTTCTACCATGGCACACATGAATTATCGATGAGGTTTGACAGGGACCCCTCGTGTTACTTTCTAAGACGGCCATTTGCATGAAGGATTGCGTGGCTTTGAGTTTTCGACACTCTTTGCATTACAGTGAGGTTAGGATTGGAATCATCAGCTTCATGATGACTCCATGAACAGTGGCAAACTTTGAAATAAACATCATGGATGAGGAGGTCTGGTGACTGCAACTTTGGGATATTGCAGCAAAAACCACATCTCCAGACTTCTGCGCAAACTCGGCTTTTAAAGTTGGGAGGAGTTAGATTCATTGGCAAAACCAGACGGGTTTTTTCCATCTTTAAGAGGTAAGTCACCATAAATTAACATAAATCACCATAAATCACAATTTTTCACACCATCAATGACCATTTTTCATGGATACACCATCAATGGGCCCATTTTCTGCCTTGGAACAAGAAAAATCCCACCTGCGAGTTGATCGGCAGGCTCAGCTGCAAGCACAATCACAGGCGGGGTTGAAGGATTCGGATCATTCGCGATGTATGAAAACTATGTATGCCACACTCATCAACCATTAATAATGTCACATAATGTTACATATCTCTTACATTTTTCTAATTACATGTCTGAATATGGATTATTTTTTCGTATCATGGAGTTGAAGGAATATTCCCCAAGTCCAACCTTTTAGGTGATCTTACGATATCTTAAGCCCTTGTGGATGGTCCTGCCGTGTGATGTTGTTTGGGATGTCCCTGGTTTCACTCCACAACCACCCATCCGATGCGCCGAGGCCATGGTGAAATGCAAGATGCCACGGCAGGCGCAGGGGGATCAAACAGAAACAACAGAAACGTGGGAAATTCTGATGAGAAAATAGGGAAAAATGATATAATTATAATTATATATATATATTATTATTATTATTACTATTATTATTTTTATTACTATTATTACTACTATTATTATAATAATAATTATATATATATATGCACCCTTGGTACTCAAACATGGCAATGGAAAATCCTGTCTCTAAATGTTTTGCCCGTTAAAACCTCGACTTATAGTGATTGCCGGAGGATATTTGATTAGGGATGATTAGGGGGATTGAATGCCCGTAACAGATGCCATGCCGTAGGGGGGATTCACCTCGATTTTTCGGAGGCTCACCATCTGCACCACACACCTGCCACTGCCTCAGTGGGGCGAGTCACGTCGTGTGGCGACGCTCAAATGTAGAGGCGTCTTTCTGATATCCTGATCTTCTTGGCTTACTGTAGATGTATCATACATATATATATATATTTAATATATATATATACATACATACATTATAATCTTATTAGTATATATATAATATGTACATGGTGTATATATACATATATATATATATACAAATAAATATAGATGGATATATATATATATATACATACACCTGATATCCATCAGATAGGGCAAAAATTAAATGCCCCCCCCCCTTTATGGTGGATATGTCTAAACTTGGATGGCCTTAATGGCCGTCTGTCGAGGCCTCCACTGAACCCTGGCGAATCGGCCAGGTGCAGATCTACCCGACCTGCTTAGTTAACACTTTGCGAAGTGCAGATCTAGTGATTTAATGGGAGTTAATGGACATTTGATGGGTTTCAATAGGTAAATCATCATCAAAATCATCTATGGGCCATGGCTTTCATATCTATGGTAAACCACCAGAGGGTAATTTGAGGAATTTGACAATGGTTTCTGATGAGTTGACGACTTTCATGTGTTTCTGATTTTCTGATGATTTAGAGGTTAGACATCCTAAAAAAAGATGATGAGTTGATTCCAGACATTTGGAAGGGGCTTCTACTGGCCGCGGCGCGTGGCGCGTGGCGCTGCTTTCGCCAGGACGCAGATCCAGCGCGGGATGAAGAGTCAGGCGTGAGCAGCCGTCGAGAAGGGTTCAGTCAATAGTCAATAGTCAATAATGACAACACTAAACAATAAGAACAGCGATGACAACGATGATGACAATAAGATTCACATATAATACTCGTAGCAATCATGAATCCTATCAACAATGATTGATGCCAAGAACAATAACAATAGCAATCAGAATAAGAAGATGACGATGGCGACGATGATGGGGATGGGGATGCCTCATCCGCCAACGATGGACCGACGCTGGACCAGGTGTAGATTCGCCGCCCGTGCCGCCCGTGCCGCCCGTGGAGCTGTCATTTATCGAGGCGAGATGAGTCGATCATGGTGTCCCAGATGTTGGTGAAGCTTACGAGAATTATTTCTGATAAAGCACCCATCCACTACTGGTACTTTTTTGAAGTTCTGAAGTTGTGGCTTTAACTGAACATGAAGCGCATCTTTGATGGCATCCTAACTGAATGTGAAGGGGTTTTGAGGTTTGGTGGGAGGTTCATGGCGGCAATATCCTTGGTGTATTTTGGCAGTTCATTTTCAAGAAAGTCCGCTTGCGCGGGTCGATCATTCTGCAAGCACTATTAAATAGGGGAAGAATCCCGGAACAACATTGAGAGTGTAACTAGTGTGTTGCAAAATGAAATGTCTTTGGGACACTTTTTCATTTCGTTTCCCAAAACATCTCTGCAGAAATGTGCTGTGCGGCAGGAGACCTTCTTCCTAACTGACCCGTGAGTTGGCCGCCACTCTGGCCATGGATGGCCATGGGGCCGGGATTGAATCAACCAGGTCCGTGACCCCCAGGTCTGTTGATGATGAACCCTTCCAAAAAGTGGTTGCTGGTGGTTACGGTAGACCCTTAGTAGATCTGAAAATTGTTTGACCATGGCTCAATGGAGCATAAATTTGCTGTGGAATATCCAGTTGTGGAAGTCAAATTCAATCGTGTTTTGTGCTCACAGGGCCATATGTGTAGCCACCCAGCTGGTTGACATTGCGATTCATTCATCCTCGTTCGGCGAATGCCAAGCATGTCGCCATAGCACGCCAAGTGCGCACCTAGCATCATAGGTCTGGATCCATTTCATCACAGGCATCCGCAAATTAAGAGAAGAGCAGATATCCTTCTTTCTACATGGTAGGAGACATTTGAAAACAAATTGCAACCCAATTGCTGTATTTGAACTTAACAACTAGATACTTGTTGACACGCAAAATTATGAGTGTCAAGATTTGTCATGGCAACTCACAAAATGGATCCAGCGCATAGGAAATCAAAGCCATTTCCGACGTATTAAAAAATGCATGGCAACTCGATCCCAGCGAAGCAGGGAAGCCGTTTACTACCTGAGGTGATTTGGATTTGGGGAATCGGGCCAGCTGGACATCCTGAAATGGGAATTGAATTGGGGACCCCTGTGGAGTATCAAAAATGGATCAAAGACCCAGAACAGAACTCCTGTAATGTGGCACAAATGTCATAACCCATGACTGGGAATGGTAACCATACCACCTATTTATGGTGATTTGGGGGATGGTTTGTTATTGTTTGACCCATATTACGAGTTTGATGGTTGAAGTCCATTTCGGACTTTGCCTTTCTGACACTAATTTTTGGCTGAGTGAAGTGGTACATTCTGAGACCATTCCGCGAAGGCGCTGTGATGTTTTGTGGGACACAGACGGAGCATTTGTCTCTGCCCAAGAAGTGGACAAGTGACAAGTGATTAAAGATGATTAAAGTGAAATGATGCAGCCACGCATCTGTGTGAGAGATCTGCAACATCAAGCACTGACATGCATGAGTGCAAAGCTCGCATTTCCATTCCCGATGGACTCAAAGACAGCCATGTCGGATTTGGAAGATGAAGAAATGACACTGGGCTCGGACTGCCTTCCACTTGTGCTTGAAAGAAACCTTGGGACTTTGGGATTCCTGGAATTCTTTCCTTCACAGGTCAAGTCAGTCTACCCTCTGGTAAACTAACAAAAAACTATGGAAAATCACCATTTTTAATGGGAAAATCCACTATTTCTATGGTCATTTTCAATAGCTATGTTAGTTTACGCCACTAATAGGATGACATTCTCAGCCCGACCAAGGACATGTTGCGAATATGTCAGGGAGGATGGGGAAGTGCGCCATGCGTTTTGGACAGAACAGGGGATTTTTTTTTGGGGATAGAATGGGCACTCAACCATCGAAGATGGGGATATAATGGGGATATGACCAAAGATCTGGTTGCAGCTTTTCATGTTTCAACATTTTCCATCGCTGAGATCATCATATTGTTGGGACAAGACGGAAGCCACCACGGGTCAGAGATCCCACCAAGAATTCCCATAGTATTTCAACTGGAGGCTGGGAGCTTTAGAGGTCACAGCAGGTCACGGCTTCACAGAAAAGTTGAAAGTTCTGGGTGGTATTTCTCCCAAGTCTCTTGCAGACTACCCTATATTTTTCATCCGAACACCAACAGGTGGCTCCATGTTTCAGACGTTTTCCCGATCTTCCCCATCTTCCTCAACCAGCTTGGTTTATGCTATGATCGCTAGATGAACATACACCAACAACAAGCTGTTTCTGGGCACCTTGGACCACAAGGTCTCACCCTTCCAATCCCCCAGTGTGATGTTTGGCGTGGCTTCATCCTGAGATCCTGCAGTGCTTCTGCGAGTGCAACGACCTGGATAGCCTGGCGGATGACTGCATCAAATCCTGCTGTGAGGGACGCAGGCTGCAGGGCCTCTTGGCATGACTGGGCCTGGTTTTTTAAATGGGCCAAGTTGGGAGCTGGAAATTTCATAGTCAAAGTGTGGGATTTATGGTGGATGTATGGTCAGATGGGTTTATCCACTTCCAGTAACGCAGGACAGTCCTCCGACTGGACGCTACCAACATGTTTCTCTTGGTGCAATCCTCAGTGAATCCCCCATTTTTGCTGACCCCAATTGTTAAATCCCGTTCGGTCGGTTCAATATCTAAAGATCGGTCTATACCCCAATTGATAGTTACTGATAGTTTAACTCATCTTAAATCATCAGTTTTTGCAGCTTGAGTCTGGGGGACCGTATGACTCTGTGACTGCGTATATTATCATATTGTTTGCAAATTATTTGCTGGTTCAATGATGACAAATAAAATAGATGTTTTCCAGCTTAATTTTATATTTGTCATATGTAAATCCAACCTGTTCATGTTTTTTCCTGCTTAAATCATGAGAAATCACCACTTTTACAGCGACTGTTGGATTTCAATCTCTGGGTCTGGGGCTGGTCCTCAGTGTACCCCATGGAACCATGGAACCTGCTGTTGGGTTGCAAAGCTGGGTTCATGATCTCATCCTGAATTCATATTTTTCACGCATCCATTCTATGGCCCCAGAGATGTAGTTTCATCCCTACCTTTTTACCATGGCTTCTGAGGGGGATGTTTAATATTCAGTGGGAGGGATGAGTGATCGTTATATATCTGTGTCATATTTTTGGTCATGGAATGTGAACTCCTCCCCATTATATCACCACGATATCCCACAACTATATCCCAAAATGTCTTATGAATTTCCAGTTCTAGTTACTATAGTTCTCTCAAATCCCCATGTCCCATGATAATCATGACATACAATCTGCAATTCAACATGGCGATATTTTCAATAGTCATAATTGGTTCGTTTTTCTTTACCGCTTGATGATCCCATGGATTTTCCGTAGCAAACTGAGGAGAAAAAACCAGAGGGTACCCTCTGGTAAACTAACATAGCTATGGAAAATCACCATTTTTAATGGGAAAATCCACTATTAATGGCCATTTTCAATAGCTTTTTCTATGTTTACCAGAGGGTAACCCATCTGCCCCAGGCCCCGCCTTGCGGGACAAGCTGCGCCGCGTTTGCCGCAGTGCGGCCGAGCGCGCACGGCTGCCGTGGCCCGGCGGCGCGGCGCCGTTGCCGTGGCCCGGGGCCTGGGCGGCGCTGGGCGTGGCGTGGATGATGAGGAGGCCCTGCGAGGGCTGAGGCGGAAAATGGATGGGATTTACCATGGTTTAAAATGGTTTACCATGGTTTAAGCACTTCAAAACTGGGGATCTCTGTGATTTTTGTCGAATTTTTAGTTGAATGGTTTGGGATTTTGATGTATAAAGAGTTGAAGTGTCATAGTTTAGTAGTTGGGGGTTCAACTATATTTTTTTTTTGGATGTAACTACTAAAGGCTGAGGTATTTATAGTATTCGTTGGGATATTTAGTGGAAAAACTGGGGGTTAATCACTAAACATTGGGATATTTGTGATGTCTATAGGTCATCTTCCATAGTTGAAACCAAATATTGGTTGAAGTAAAGTGAGTTCACAATGTCAACTTGGGATTGGAACGGCAAGAATTAGATTTTTTTGGCTGGAAGATGGTAGATTCGACCCCACCGAAATGGTGATTTTCCATTGATGGCCTTGTGTTTCTGCACATTTTTTAAAGTCAGGGCAATCGATTGGAAACTGTGCGCGCCCAAAGAAAGGAATGATGTATATATATATATACACATACACATGTCAAAAGCACGACCCAAACTTGTTTTCTATCTGGGGCCTGAGACCCCCCTAAACCAAGACTCGACATCGTCAGGTGCATGGAACTTTCTACCTGGTTACCCTGGGTAGCCTGCTGGCTGTTGCTGGGTGCTGGACATTTGGTTGGAATCCATCTGCTGTGTTTGACTCTACCCTTGAGGCAGCGGGGAGCGGTGGGGAGTTGACGGATCATCGCCCAAAAATTTTGCACCAAACATCTCCAATATGTCAAGCTTCCGACACCAAGATGCCCACTGACCCAGTTTTAAGGTGACTTCCCAATGCTGAGTTCAGAGGGAAACACAGGGATTCAGCATGGGACAGCTGTGGAAACACCATGCTGAGGTCAGAGTACCTGGTCGCCTGGGTCTTGCTTTCGATCATGGGACTCTATGATGACTACCTGCATCTCGTCTATCCGCACCAGCCATGGCTCTGGTTCTGTCTCAGTCATCTGCTGTTGCTGGAGGTCTTGTTCTCCTTTGCGGCGTCTGCGTCTTGGTGAAAGGTGAGACAACGGGGCTGTATCGTTTGGGGATGGGATGGGACACCAACAACCATAGGGGGATGAGTATCCAGTGTGATCCAGAAGTGTTTTGGTGGAACTCATCCCAGTTTCTGGGGAGCATCCCAGGTGTTCTTGAGACCGAAGCAAGACCAGGACCCGAAATCGTTGTTCCTCTCGTGGCGAATGATGGGATTTCCGATGAGGTCCAGGTCTTAGACAGTGACAGGATGATTTTCCCATCTCGCAACATGATTTTCAAGTCATTTAGCTTCGTTTTTTTACTGGTGGTTTGGAACATTTTTTATTTTTCCATAGATTGGGAATGTCATCATCCCAACTGACTTTCATATTTTTCAGAGGGGTTGAAACCACCAACCAGTTTAGGTTTGGCGCCTGTTGAGGCTTCACTGAAGGCGACAACAAAATCACACGCCCCCATGGGAACCATTTTACCACGCCTTCGCCGTGGCTCATCGTAGGTAGTTGGTAGCTGGCTTCTAACTTCTAAGTTTATATTATGTAAACGTAGAATTATTGTAGTTAATTGTATCATATAGTTATGATATATATATATATACAGCACTCTCTTCGATGATTCTGGAATGGAACTATAAGACATTTCCTGTCCAAAAAAGGCTTTGACGGTTTGTCCAGTTCCCATTGGGTCCCTCAGGATCTTCCAAGTGGGCCTCAAAGGGACTGCTGAGAGAGATGGGATACACAACTATTACTGTACAGGTATCCGAATGGGATACAAATAATAACAGGGATACATTAAACCACCAGATATTACTTGTATTCATTTGGGATACAAAACCAGATGGGATTACACATCATTGGTTAATGAATATCTGGGTGGTTGATTTTTTTCGCCGCTCCAATGTAGGTGATATACCAAGTTTGGTTCGTCATTTTGCCCCTTTATTTGTTGGGAAAAAAGACATTGATGCAGGTTCAGACCTCTTTCCAATGGTCATTGGTTGGGTGGAAACCCAGTGGTTGGATGATACCATTTCACGAGCACTTTTATATAGTGACGGTATGCACACCACATTTTGTGAACTGGAAAATATTAATGTGTCAAAAGCATAGCTAAGAAAATAGCTAAGTCATCTATAAATGTGCTATATCTTACATAGCAAACTGTTTTAACTGGACGGTAAATCCCATTAAAATCCATTCAATCGCCATGAAAACCATTAAATCACTATAAATTTACCATAAAATTAAATCATAATAAAATCACCATAAAGTCACCATGAAATCACCATAAAATCAGCAGCTTCATCCCACTGTCTTGATGGCTCACAGGATCTCGCCTCCAGCGGTGCAAGTTGGCCCTGTAAAATCTGTGGGCATTCGATCCATGGACGAGATCATCACTGCGTGGCTCAGAGCAGACAGAGCTCTCTGGGCTTTTCCCCAGGCTCATTTGATGTAAAAAAACGCGGGGAAAACCATGGGATAGCAACCAATTAATATGGACTATCATGGGCTATAGGCTATAATTGGAATATAACTAACCAACTCAATGACAAGCTGATGTAATGGGGTTGTAATGGATGTGTAGTCGGAATATAATGGGATATATAACCAACAATATGATATTTGGGGTGTTTGAAAACGGGGTATGCCCTTCAGAAATGACTATTGAATCGGGAAAATGATGATAAACCAATGCATTTATTGGGCAGATGCCCTATTTTGAGACAAACTCACAGGAAGGTTTGACTTGCGGGATGCGAGTCATTGGTCCAGAGATGAATGCTATGTTTCGTTCGACATCCAACTGGAACCCACTATTTTCTTCTACAGTAGCGACCGACATGTCAGGTGATACAACCTGCCCGGGTCATCATGGGCATGGGCTCGGCTTGACAGAAATAGCACGGGTAAAACTGGAAGTTTTGCCTTCTGGTAACTCCCAAAAAGGATGCTACTAAAATAGTGACGGATTACTTTTCTATCTTTTTGGGGGTTGCTATAAATCTATCCAGCTTCGTTATTCCTTAAATATCTATGCAGCTTCGTTATTTTACCATCTTCTTTGTGACGATTCCGATCGCACGCGGTCTAGACGGCTCTGTATTTGATGCTGATGATGCTTGTTGAGCTTGTCCTTTTCACGGGAGTGCCTGAAACTGGGGGTATACCCTCTGGTAATTTAACATAGCTATTGAAAATGGCCATTTATAGTGGATTTACCCATGAAAAATAGGGATTTTCCATAGCTATGTTAGTTTACCAGAGGGTACCTCCAAAAACACGGTACTGCCGTCGCTACCCGAGTCGCATGTTTTAGTCCTGCTGCATGTCACATCCTTAGTCACCATTGAAGTGTCGCATGCCCTCAGGCACCATTTGTCGCAGTTTGTGGCGGTTGTAAGAACCATTGCCATTGGTAAATCCAATTCCACAAGTGCTCAACAGTGTGGTTTTTGGATCCTTTGTACTGACCTTGGGAATAAAGTCTTTTCAGCAATCCCAGCATTTATCTAAGGTTTGCGTCCCTCCTTTCAAGGTCTGACCATTGCATCTTCGCACATTTCTTGAAAATTCGAGCAAAGCATGCCTCAATTCTTTGGAAGTTCCAAGAGCAAATTCAAGAGCATAACATCCAGAGCGTGTTGGACGTTCCAAGAGCAAGTTAAGAGTGTAGCATCAAGAACGTGTTGGAAGAATCACAGGGATGATCGCAGGCAAATGAACGTTATGACCCCGCTCCACCCCACCCCATCCCCCCCAATGAGGTAACGTCTCGCAACCCTTGCGGGAGACGTCTCTTGCGTAGCATCCACAGTGTGCGCAAGTCAACATGAACGTTGCTGCCCCACCCCACCCCAACCCCACCCCACCCCCATGATATGCATGTGGTAAAAGAACACTGTTTTTCCCCACGGCCGGTAATGCTGGCGCTAGCAAAAACACACAATTTTAGTAAGAAGATTAAGACTAACCAGTGGTTTTCCCCAAAAAAATCAGACACATCTTCATCTTGGAAGACTCAGGTGTGGATCAACCAATGTGTGGGTTCACACAACCATCGCAGTTTCGTGCTGTTCCTCGTGGGTTTGACGCTGCTGGCGTGGGCCTATGCCTTCATGTTGTGCCCTGGCAGTCCGTCTAGGAGGAAGGGCTAGTCATCTCACATCACGTGACTATGTAATTTTATACATATACATATATTATATATAGAATACATATCATGTTAAATAGTTATATATTAGTTATTATAATTACACAAGTAACTCTATTATAACCATATATATATATTTACATATATATATATTTACACACATATATATATATATATACATACTATAGAGACATATAGTACACAATCCTTTCCCCCAAAGAATAGCTCCCTTTTTGTGTTCCCAGATCCTTTCGCTTCGTTTCGCGATCGAGGTGCGAGGAGTTCGCGAGCGCTCGCGGCCAGGTGTCGCTGCCAGATCTCTGGGCCTCGTTGTGGAGCGCACAACGAATCCCGTGCCATGCTGTGGATGGCCATGGGCACCGGGTCCAAGTCATGGGGGTTGCCATCCAGTCATGGTACCCCTTTATAGCTGGATGGGAAAAAAAATGTTTATAATGGAACATCCCAGAAAAAAAGGGATGATTTTTTCGGGGTAGCCCTATTTCAGGAAACAACCATATGGGTATGGATCAATACCTATTAATAGCATTTTTAGGGGGATGAACATCCATAAATCCCAGCTATTTTGATGTGAACTACAGGGGTACAAGGTTTTGACACACTGCCATATATCATATGGCCATATACTGATTATTTCCACGTTGTTTGTGTTTTCATTGAATCTGTATGCTTGGAAGCTGCGGAACGAACAATTCTGTCATTTCTGTTTGTGAACTTTTTGCTCATCTGTGGGTTTGTCTACCTGTAGTTGTAGGTTTGCTAGTGTACAACTTTTTTTTTGGGTGGCATCTCTGGGTGGTTGCCTGCACAATCAACCCACCATTCAAAAACATTCCACGACAAGAATATACACCGACACATCTGGAATGGATTGACAACAATATCAAATCAAGCCAGATATATCCAGATATACTATTGTATAATTCATTAAAACCAGATATAACATTCTATAGTGAAAATCTGGGCAAGTAAAGCAATAAAGCAACACAGCCAACGCCAGTCACCCATCGGCAGATCGGTGACTACGGCGACCTGAGGCAACCTTTGGAGGGAGCCATTTATGCCACTGCAGGAGGCATTTTTACCATGGTTTTGCTCATTGCGCAGGTGGTCTCCATCAGTGTTTTGGTCGAAGATGGGAAAATTGTGAATGGAAACCATGGGACAATCGTGGAACATCATCAAGTTGGAGGTAAAAAAACGAGTCTAGTGTAGATTTTCCCCACCAACCAATCCATTGTTTTGGAGCAAGACGGTACGAAAAATCTCGCTGTTCGATGTCGATTTATGACCTTTTCTTTGGAATGGGAACTGTAGTCGAACATGGAGATTTACGGATTTATCTTAAAATAGATCAACATGGCGGATATCCCTGTTTAATGCTCTTTCAAATTGCCTCTTCGTAAGAGGATTATGAGAAATTCTGGCATGGGGTTCCCCATCTGGACTCAAACCAATGACCTCCTGTTGGTGAGGTACTGGGCTCACAAACCAGCGCCGTGGAAAACCTCGGATACGAAATGCTATCCAAAATTGGATAACTTGGGCAAAAGCCTGAAAAACAATTGAAATTCAACAACATATAAACGGATATGATATATATATATATGGGAATGGGACGATAATTAAATATCGAAATTTCAATCTAAAATTTGATTTTCAACCATAATATACAAAATCAAAATATAATCGATAGATATATATATATATTATTGTGTATATATATATATACTGTGAATATTATCCCCTGAATGTTGATTTCCGGGGTTCCCTGAACACACCAATGCAGTGCGACACCCTGTGTTTCGCTGCCAAATCTGTCTCCTCCCGCCCACCCTTCTGCGGCAAGCGGCGAGCGGCCGTCAAAGGAATTATGGCCATGGAACGTGGTGACATGCTGAATGGAAGAAATGGACATGAGGACCTGCTGGATTGGGAAAATGTTGGAACATTTACACTCATCAAAAATCCAAATCAACAAAACAACAAAATTAAAATCACAGCTAGATCATGACGTCAAAGGTTTTGTCATTTTGTTTCTTCCATGTCCACAGCATCATGCTCTGTTCCCTCATTGATCCACTTGAGTTGCGCTCTTTTATTGGCTCTTTGCTGGAGGACTGTCTTTTCATCAAACAATGTATAACGTCCTACAAGTAGTGCCTGCCGAAGAACCTGCCCATCCATGGACTTCGTCAAACAATCAGCCAACATGGCTTTACTGTTCACCCATCTTAAGCGACAGTTCTCCTGGAGCCTTTCACGGATCAAAAGGCATTCTAAAGTTGTTCTGCTTTCCGAACAGGCTGGTGTTGAAGTCTTAGTTGAGAGGTCATATACAGACTTGCAGTCAGTCGCAACCACAGACCATGGTGCCTCACGAAGAATGTCACTGGGATTTGACCAGTCCACGGCTGGATTCTTCATCCATTCCCAAAACACTCTTATCCAACTCAGCCTGTCCAGTGTTGATCCTAAGGCAATAGCCTCAGCGCTCAAGGTGCTTCGCGCCACTCTTGGGATCTTCTTTGAAGACCATGCAACCGGACACACAACAGTCTTGACATTGTCCTCAAGTTTCCCGTCGGTCGAGAAAATGAGTGTACCCTGCCTTGTTGACCTACCTTTACCAGTCTCAAAAGAAGCATCTGAAAATGCACAGAAAGTCACAGCATGTTCCGGTATGGGCACGATCATCAAACTCACTGGATTCGCCTTGGCCTCGTACAAAACTCGGTTCGCATTAATTAAGTGTTCCACCTTTCCAGAAGCCACTGCTGACTGAAGCTCACCGACCTTTGCTGAAAGGTCAGGCCTAGTGTGCACTGCAGCGTATTGGAGGCTTCCGCAAATTTGGCGAAGCTGCTGGGTCTCCAGTGGTGTGAGAGAACTCTGGCTCTGCTGTCGACGATTTCGAGGAATCTCAATGGGGTGAATCTTTTGAACATAGGAATCCTGACTCATCTCAATGGACCCATCGTCCCACTGATAGTATCGAACCCCACAGAATTCAAAATCCCCTTCATTGTAGGCCCCAAACTCGAACTTACTACGGAGCTTCCCAATGATCTCCCTAAAGTATTTATCACCCCCTCCGATTCCATCGTCAACATGTAAACCTACACATCCATGTACTTTGGGTTTTCCATTGTGGCCCTTTGTCACCAATGTGAAAACGCAGCCATCGAAAGGGCTGACTACGAAGCCCAGACCCTCCATTGTTTCGCGGAGTGTCTTGTACCATAAAAGAGGGGCATCTGCCCTGCCGTATGCTCCACCCAGAAGTCCGCACTGTTCATCATTCTGTAAGCCAATGGCCCGTTTGAGCTCCGGAGGTGCATGGATTCCAAGCTTTCTTCCATCACCTGCGCCCTTTAAGAAAGCAGTGGAAATATCAAAATTGATCAATCTCCATCCCCTGCTTGCAACCTGCTGCAAAATCAGCTGTTTACCATCCTTCGAAAGGGTCGGCGCGTCAGCTGCAATGGAACTCAGCTCTGGATCCTCAAATCCACGAATTACAAGACGTGCCTTAGCACGCTCCTCTGTTGTGCCGGGAGCAGGTGGTTTCCATGTGAAGATCCATCTGCACCGCATGATTTGGTCATCTCGCAACGTCCCCTTGGCCAACCTACAAACTGTTTTGTGGCTAACCCATGCCTTTATTTCCTTATCTTTGGCATTTTGAAACTTCACACGGTCGGCATCTGTGAGGTTTTTCCATTGGATTTCTACCTTTTGTTTCCGGGAATCTGTTGCCAGAAGCAGCCATTCTCCTACTTCGGGGACATTACAAAAAGACACATCAGAATTCCCACCAACACCAATTTCGGGACCATTCTCAAAACCGATCTCCCAAAACCCCGGATCCCCTGGTTCACAACTAAAATCATCCCCAAACAGAAGATCCTGGCCATCGTCTGGTACAGGTATTTCATGGGCCTCCTTTGCTCTTTCCTCCTCTGGTTCCTCATTTACTTCTGGCATGATCCCATCCCCTTCAGTGGGCACAATTGATGTAGGGGTATAAGATCCATTTGAAAACCCTTCCGGAGGAAAGACTTCGCCATCAGGTTGGCTTGAGGCAACACTCACCGGGGCATTTGGAACTGCATCCGTTGATTCCGATACATCAGGTTCGGTATTTTCAACAGGAGGCTCATCATTCCCCAAATCAACAAAGTTCTTGCACTTTGGGTCAACCCTTATCTCATGGACATTACCCCCCAAACTTCGACTGATGGCTCGGAATTCACGCATGGATGCGGGTCGTATTTGTTGTGGACTCGCCCGGATGAGGTACCCGCTGTGGGATATCCACACGACCTTTTGATTTTCACATACCACTATCTGTCCAGGACCATACCATCGTCCTCTATCTCCTTTCATGTTCCCCTTATGTTTCCTCCAGTAAAGTACCCAGTCTCCCTTTTGGAAATGGTTAATTGCTATTCGGGGTCGTCGGAGAAGAGCTCTGCGAATGGCTTGGTCGTTGTCAGCAGAAAGAAAGGCTCGTCTTGCCCTTTCTCTCCGGGCTAAATCTTCACGGAAACGCAGGCCATCTGGAGTGTCGGCATCCAGCAGGGCATGGGCAGCTGTTTGTTCATCAGCCATTAAAGACCCTGGGAGAGACCTTGCCTTCCCCAACAGTGCTTGTTCAGGACTGAAACCCCTTGTCTGACCCATGGAATTCTTAGCTGCAAAAGCCTGCCTCAGACACCTCTTGAACTCGTCAACGCCCTCAATAGGTTTCTCTACATCCATTGCAGTCAACATCTGTTTGATTATTTTCCCATGGGCTTCGGTCCTTCCCAACTGCCAGTGGCTGTCTCCTGCAGACATCGAAACTTTGATGTTTTCCCGCTGGAGGTGAGTATGCCATTTGGTGTTTACATACTCTCCAGCAGGATCCAGGTAAAGTGCTTTGCATGGACCAGCCCACTGCAGCCAAACATTTTCAAAAGTGGATATCTGTTCGTCCACAGTACGTCCACTGAGGGCCCCAAGATGGAACAGCGTAGACTCATCAATGAAATGTAGAAAATGATAAGTAACACCCATACTCCCCTTCCAATAAGCACCATCACAACCAACAACATCGTTGAAATCCCTATGCTCATGGATAGTCGATGGATTTGCCAGTTTGGGTCCTCTATGGTTTTCTACGCACACATCACATTGATAGTCACGAGCTGCACAGACAGCCCTTTGGTCGGCTCCCTGTTCTGACAGCAAGCGACACAGTTTTTCTGGACTGGGGTGACCTAGGTTTGCATGGAGACGCTTTAAATCATTTCTCTGATGGACATCCAAAAGCTCAAATGCGGGACCACTTCGGGGAATGATTCGTGGGGCCCAACCCTCTATACCCCCTGATTCCCCAACATCCCCCATGCTTATTTCCCTGTCTCTATGCATCATTTGTTGGTCGCCCTCCACACTTGGAACACTCACTAGAGGTCCTGATTGGTCCTCCCTTGATTGAGATTCTCCCTTGTTGCCTGCTACTTCCGTGTCTGGTGACTTGTTTACATCGGGAACCAGCGGTACACCAAGTTCGGAAGTTTCATCTGTTGGGAGTTGATGTGGGGACCCTACACTTGGTTCTGCCTTGGTGCCGAACACTGTGACAGAAATTCTTGCTGGTCCTGCCTTGCGTATCTGTTTGATTCTGGATAAACACCACCAATTTTCAGGGGGCCCTAGATCGACAACCCTACCTGAAGTCCTGTCTACAATGACTGTTTTTCGCCAAGGCATCTCATTTGGACCTGCAAGGTTCCCAGGCACTCGGTACCTTTCGGTACCTCTACAAAGCAGGACCAATTTGACTTGGAGTTCGGGAACCAATGCATGAAAGTCAGCGCACTGGGGATCATCGCCCTTCAAAACCAAATTTCCAACACGTGGCAAGGCACTGGACAAACCCTTAATCACCCCTCCCCATGTTGGAGACTTGCCATACCCTGCACGTGGCGGTGATCCAGCGCTTTCAGCATCTGGTCCACGGGGTGGCCCTTTAATTCCGTACCGTCGCCTCTTTTGGCTTTGGGAATCTTCCGGTGCCAGGTCAGGGGACTCATGTTTTTGGTCAACAGCAAACACATCGTGTGGGTTCTCAAAAAGCACAACAGGAGGTTCCCCAATCCTACACTCCTCCAAAATCTTCTCAGCAATAAATGCTCCAAAAATGGAAGTGTAAGGTGACGCATATTCGGACACATTAATCCGTTGTCCCTCATGTTTCATGGACCCTTGGATAACCTCATGTGCATGGTCATGTTTGCAGTATTTCTGATGAAGGTGAAAGTCCATGTACCCACTTGTGGTATTGACACTCGTCCTTTTCCGAAGAAAATCCCCTTTTCTTGGTAACCGCAATTTCCCCACCCGGCACATGTCAAATGTTGATTGGAGGGATCCTTCCCGAAAATCATTCAATTCTTCTTGGAACATCATTGATGATTCACTAGGCTGTTCAAGATGGGCATGCCGTCTTTTACAACTTTGATAAAGATATATTTCGTTACATAACCGGAGGTGATGTTTATTGTGGAGTCGTTCTCGAACAATCTTGCTACAAAGTTCATGACTTTTGGACATATTCAAGTTAGAGAACTTTCCCCAAAGCCTGCATTCCGGTGCTAACCAAATGTGGCGAGGTTCATACATGTAGATCCACAACCAAAGTTTCTGGACTCCTTCGAGGGTACCTAAATCCCCATCATTATAGGTGAACCTCATGGCATATCCCCCTTTTCGGTTCACATGTGTGGTAATTTGGGAATTGGGCCCACAATAAACCTCTAGTAAGTCCAGCGGCCGACTTTGGAGGTGGCCATTCTTGTTTCCTGTTGTCAGGTGGTGTTGATTCTCCATTTTGCCAGCATTCTTTGGGAGAGTGGACAAACCGTCCTGAATTTCCTCAGTCTTAAGGGCTAGCTCCTGGTGAATCAACTTTTCCTGAACAGCGGTCAATCGAGGCAATGGTGTATTGCTATCAATGTAGCTCACCAAACTTGAAATTTCATCATTCAGCTTGACTCTGCATCGCTTGGGACCTGTATCTCTTTGGCCAGTTCCCGTTGGAGCAAAGCGATCTGAGTTTGGATCTGTTGGACTTTCTCGGCATTGGGTTCCATCATCATAGATGATCGAGGAGCTTCGCTTCTCGTCACCTCCGAAACTGGGCGTTTGATTGGGTCGGTCTTCGGAACTTGTTTTCCCATGACCTTCACCCAATCCTCGGATGTCACACTTGACGTTCCCTTCGGCTCTGCCTTTGGCAAAGCCTTCGGAATCGGGATCATACTTCCTGCCTTGGTCACGATCTGACTGAGCATCTCCGTGGTCACTGGGATCCCCTTGTTGAACATCTCCTGTGAATGAGCGTGGTCGTGCTGCACCCTTGCTTTTCCATACATCTGAAAATTCTTGACCCAGTTTGATGTCGCCCTTCGATTTCGAAGTTGAAATACATAGTTCTGATCGGTGTAGGCCTCCTCGAATGTCTTGCCTTTGTGTTTCCCATCTGGGAGAATCATTTGTCCCCATTCTCGGAGTGTGTTCACTTCCGGTGGCCTTAGGAACACATCCGTCTGGGTCTCTGATACCTTCTTGGGCATGGTGAGGCTCTGGTCCACTTCGGAGTCGAGTGGCCTGTCCAGATAGCTGAGATCGATCATGTGGCTGGACATCTTTTCCTGAACTGCGAATTGATTGGCTTGATGACTGGTTTGAGCATACGGCTGCGGGTGATGCGATACGGCAATTTTCATTAACATGTTGGGATACCTGATGACCTATCTTTACCTGTACATCATCCATGGTCTCAGACTCTCCCGGGTGGTTGGTAGGACAGTATTTTCCATGATCTTCTTCATTTAATTCATCATTTTGGGTGGTCATGTGAATTTTATCCCTTTTCTCCGTTGGTGATTCCGGTGTGATTGCCAAAATTTTTCCAAAGTGAACACTCATGAGATTCTTTCTACACGGTTTCAGTGGCACCCCTGTTGTGCTTCCCTTGAACCAAAGCATGCCCCCATCTACATCGATGACTGCCTTGAGAGCTTTGAGGACTGAGTTAGAAAGCAGGAATGGGGTCTGACCTGGTACCACCTCCACTCTGATCCATCCTCCAGTTTTCCGTGGGAAAAACACAGCTGAATTGCTTTTCAGGGTGCCAGAGTTGCCAAACCTGAAAACAACACTTGAAGGAGCAACCTTGACCTTGCCTTCCATGCCACATGAAGCAACCAGGCTAGACAACCGATCTGATCCTACAACGGCTCGGCTGGCACCCGTGTCAATGATTGCCTCATGGCTTTCTTCCTCAAATTGGAAAACTGTTTCAGTTTCCTGGGTTGTTTCAACCGAAGCTTTCAAATTGGATGGGCACGGACTCAGAGGGAGTGCGGATTTCCCTTGGCACGGGAACGTCTTGTGGTTGGCCACCACTGATTCACGGTGCTTCCTACCACAACGTTGCAAACGATTGCACAGGTTTTGTGAAAAAATCGAACCAACACAAACCCTATCAACTACCATGGCATCATGCAAAAACTGGCCCTGCTGATGGTCAATGGTTTCTAGGTGCAACGTTTCATGGTCTCGTGGGTTCCCTTTTAGATTATTTTTGAAAAATTTTGTGTCTTGCCCCTCCTCCCAGTCCACTACGTCAGGGGGCAGAACCTCGATGACTTCCTGAGCGATGTCATCTTCATCCAGGAACCCCAAATGGACCTCATTGAGTGTTGACTGCTCGGGCTTCTTGTTCTCGGCACGTTGTGGGCATTTACGTTTCCAATGCCCTGCCATTCCACAAAGTCTGCACGTGGAGTTTGCTATCCTGTCAGCAAGAGATCTCTTTCGTCCCATGAATCCAGCGTTGGATCCCTGATTGTAGGTGTTGCCACCTTTGCCCTTCTTGGTGAATCCCTTCCCCTTTGCTTTGCCCTTCACGGGCCAAAATCCACGAGCTCTGGCGTGCTCTCGAACTCGGGCTCTGGCCTCCTGGTAACTCACAAAGCACTGTGAGAGGTCAGGATGTTCCTGAACTGCTTCCACAATCTGGTCCTCAAACTCATTGATGTAGATTGCGTCCTCATCGTCATTGTCGGCCATGAGCTGGTAGATTGATTCCTCGTCCCATTCTCCATCAGTCTCCTGGAAGAAGGCTGGCGAGGCTTCTTCGATTTCATCGGCATTGTAGGTTTCATATGACTTCTTTGCCAATTGGCTTTTGTTGGTCCCCTGCAGTTCCTGGAAGAACTTTGATCCCAGCAGCTTCAAGCTCTTTCGAGCAGCCTCGTACGTAAGATCCCCGGCATTGTCCATGATGATCTTCTTCCTGTCCTCAGATGACAGTGTGGACTGCCTGACCAGTATGTAGGCCCGGATGTCCTTGATTGTCACACCTTTGGATTCCAGGTCTTCGAAGGCTATGTCGTGTCGAGCCAAATAGCTATTGTTGCTTTCATCTCCTTTTTGAACCACAGTATATAGTACCCTCTCAAAGAGGTCATATTTTTCCTCAGCTCCAAGTCTACCCCACTGACCACCCAAGGCTTCGACCAAGTATTGGATGCCCTGTTTGGACTGTAACTTTGCTCCATCCAGACGTGCAACCTTCTGAAAGGCAGCACCCTCTACAAGGAGTGTAGCTCTGGGTGCTAGGTATTGGAGGTGTTCTTCCGGCCAAATGGCATGAAGAAACTTCATCTTCTGCTCATAGACTCGTAAGTCTGTGGTGCTCGGGTCAAACCGAGGGATTTGGGCCCACGGTAAAGCTTGCGCATGTGCTCCACTTTCACCGGACATGGATCACTTCGATCTATGGCTGTGCCGTTTTGTCTTGCAAAACTCAAAATTGATTAATTAACCCCAATATTGGAACCCACCAAATTGAAGTAGAAGGAGCTATAAGCGGCAGCCCAGCTGCTCCGCTACCAATGTGAATATTATCCCCTGAATGTTGATTTCCGGGGTTCCCTGAACACACCAATGCAGTGCGACACCCTGTGTTTCGCTGCCAAATCTGTCTCCTCCCGCCCACCCTTCTGCGGCAAGCGGCGAGCGGCCGTCAAAGGAATTATGACCATGGAACGTGGTGACATGCTGAATGGAAGAAATGGACATGAGGACCTGCTGGATTGGGAAAATGTTGGAACATTTACAATATACATATATATATACATATATGTATATATATACCTATTATTTAATCAACTGAAGATATAAATTAAATATTACGATCTGGTTGTACACAGAGCGCGCGCGCAGTTTCCCAAGCCCAATTTTCCCAAAAATCTGCCACAATTTTGGGACTTTCACGAAGACATCTTCAGTTTGTGTGACCACAAACTGAACCTGTACTTCCGGAGCTTCCTACGCGGAGGTCGAAAATTCACTACTTTTTTGGCAACTTTCGTTTTTGCGTTGCGCAAAAAAGTGATTATTTTTGGAAAAAAATCGCCTTCCCAGTCAGTGTACCGCTGGGCAAATGCAGCACGGTCGATCACGGACGGTCAGGGGTTCGATTCCTCCTAGGTCCGTCCCTACCCCCTGCGGCTATTACCCTTGCTTGCCTAGCTTCTGTGCTGTTCGCTCTGTGCCCTTTCTAATACGGGCCTCTGCGAGACTGCCCGCTTGCTGCACCCGCTTTCTACTGCAGACACTGTGCTTGCTTTTTTAACATGTACGCGCTGTTTTGGGGAGCTTCTTTGGGACGCGGCTTTCGGTAGCAACTTTGGAGAG